TCATGGTGAATCCATGGAATGCTGAGAGGTTTTTAGTTTTTACTTTGCTATGACTATAAATAAATATTATTAAACAAAAATTACACTTAACTTATACTAAACGTCTTCTTAAATACAGCTTATTAACAATACAAGAAAATTTAATTTTAATAGAAAACCTTGTACATTAATTGTCATTCTACGATTATAACGAGCGTTTAATCGAGTAATCATATATCAAAAAAAACTTACATCATTACTGGAGATGATAATTTTATTCCGTTTGACAGATGAACAATCACAGAACTTCCGTAAGGAGTACACATATATAAAAAAAACGTAAATAAATTGGTTTATCTGTTTAGGAACTATGATGCCACGGACGTACATACACAAAAAAAAATATGTCAAACTTATGTTACAGTTCTTTTTGAGTTAAATCTCTATAAAAACATACATTTTTCTATACTAACTATAAGTATTATTAATAATATACTATTAATAAAGAAAAAAACACGAATTACATTCAAAGCCATTAATCCTGTTGTTAATTGAACATATTTTTTTTCTTTGTTAAAGTTTGTAAGGCCTTATCACCTCAATATGACCTTTGCCAAGGTAAAAATGTATTCAGTAATATTTATAATAATACATAAAAACATACAAAATAAAAAATAGAGATTAATATAAAATTTTAAATAAGTCTTAAACTAACACGTATTAGAGTAAAGGTCATTCAACGTGATGTTTTTTTTTTAAGTACAATTACATATTTAGTGGTATTCGAAAAAACTGTTAGTTAGGAAGTAAATAGTTATGTAATAAATTAATTTATTAATTTTGGTTGCCCTAGTATTGATAACGCTACCTGCTATCTAAAGGCCTAATAGAAACCAAAACCTAGTTAAACCTATATTTATTAAATACAATCTTCTGTACAATTTAAATCTTTGGTAACTTTTCAATGGAAAATCTACTTTAAGTAAGACTGTATATGTAAAAAATAGTAATACTAATTATACATAATTGCTCTATTGTAATTTTACATTTTGAATTAATGTTTTGTTACTTTCGACAGAAACTTGTATACGGTATCTTTCTGGTACGTCTGTAACTGATAAAAAAGTTATTTTTTTATGCTATGTCTTTATTTTCCGTTTAAAATAAATATAAATTAACAAAATTTGTCAGAAATTTCCCCGTATCTGACACATATCGTCGGGGATAGTGCATGTCCGCGTAATTGTGAAAAAGGTATTTTTTTCACCATTAGTAATTATTTAGTGTTTAATTTATTACTAATAGTGAAAAAATTACTATAAAAGTCGTTAATATAGAAAATATTTCATCTCAAACTTTCTTCTGATAATCTGCTTACAATGTAGATGCGCGGAATTATCCAATATTAGTTACGCGAATTTACACTATCCCCGACGATATGTCAAACTTGGTGACATCCGAATAAAATAAATATTATGTTTCATTAAATTTTATATTTATATTCTAGACAACGCATTAGATGACCGTAAAAAAGAAAAAATGTTTCCTTGACCCTGACAACAATATTTGAATTTCAATTAGTATGGTTAATGTGTTAAAATATTCCATTAATTTACAATCAATAGTTAAAATATTCTACCATTTTGTTTTATGTTCTATTAAAAAATAATACATATGTATAAAATAATATAACAGATAATAAAAAAAAACATGAATTACATAAAACATAATTAAAATGAAAGACTTGTTTTTAGTTCATAATATACAAAAAACATAAAACTTATTTTTTTAATATAAAATACTTTTTTTTGTAAATGTTTTAACGGCTCTGTATACGAGTCCTTTTGAGCCTTAAAACTAAATAAAATTTATAGTGTTTCCATTCATATCATTATTTAAGTGCCAGCCATGAAAGTAATTGACAACATTTTATTCATATTAATTGTTTGAACATATGTATATGTATGTTATGAAAAAACAATATATATATATATATATATATATATATATATATATATATATATATATATATATATATATATATATATATATATATATATATGTATATATAACAGCAATTATCGCAATATATACTTATATATATAAGTTATGTTTTATTTTTTAAATCACATTTTTTTTTTCATTTAGGATATATTACTCGTAATAATCTTATTACTTAATGAGATCTAAGATTTTCGCGAGTACACATTTAAATGAAACTAATATTTTCGGATTTTACTTCGCGTTTTATTTTAGAAACTACATACTCCCGACGTTTCGGCTACTTTTCAGCAACCGTGATCACGGGCAGACGAGATGTGAGTGTCTGTCAGTTGGTCTGGTCATTTTATCTCATACCGCCATCGATTTCTTAATTGTCTTGCGTACCGCTCTGGATGCCAGCAAAATGCGCTCACGGTGTCTCGAGGTCCTGCGGTGTGGTCACGGACATGGGATTTTATATTTTTAAGAAGAGGATCCCAGGTGTTTGATAGGTTCCAGTCATCTTCTCTATTGAAATTTGGGTGTTTTTTAATTTCAATAGCCTCGCGGATTAACCTTGGTATATATCTGTCTTCACGAGCGAGGATCTGTGGTTTATCAAATCTAATGTAATGGCCTGGTTTGTCCAATGCATGTTCGCACACTGCTGACTTCGACGCGCGCCTATTCCTGACGTCTGAAATGTGTTCCTTAACCCTTGTACCGATGCTTCTCTTTGTCTGTCCGATGTATGACAAGCCACAGTCACAATCAAGTTTATATACACCCGCTTGTTGTAAAGGAATGTTACTCTTGATTGGTCTCAAGAATTGGCTCACTTTCTTATGTGGTTTATAAATAGTCTTGATTGAAACCTTCTTCAAGATGTTGCCTATTCTGTCAGTAACTCCCTTTACATATGGTAGAATTGCAGGTTGTCGCTCAACTGTAAGTGGCTTCATCTGGTTCTTGTTCTTGTTCTTGTTCTGGTTCTGTAAAGGGAGTTACTGACAGAATAGGCAACATCTTGAAGAAGGTTTCAATCAAGACTATTTATAAACCACATAAGAAAGTGAGCCAATTCTTGAGACCAATCAAGAGTAACATTCCTTTACAACAAGCGGGTGTATATAAACTTGATTGTGACTGTGGCTTGTCATACATCGGACAGACAAAGAGAAGCATCGGTACAAGGGTTAAGGAACACATTTCAGACGTCAGGAATAGGCGCGCGTCGAAGTCAGCAGTGTGCGAACATGCATTGGACAAACCAGGCCATTACATTAGATTTGATAAACCACAGATCCTCGCTCGTGAAGACAGATATATACCAAGGTTAATGCGCGAGGCTATTGAAATTAAAAAACACCCAAATTTCAATAGAGAAGATGACTGGAACCTATCAAACACCTGGGATCCTCTTCTTAAAAATATAAAATCCCATGTCCGTGACCACACCGCAGGACCTCGAGACACCGTAAGCGCATTTTGCCGGCATCCAGAGCGATACGCAAGACAATTAAGAAATCGATGGCGGTATGAGATAAAATGACCAGACCAACTGACAGACACTCACATCTCGTCTGCCCGTGATCACGGTTGCTGAAAAGTAGCCGAAACGTTGGGAGTATGTAGTTTCTAAAATAAAACGCGAAGTAAAATCCGAAAATATTAGTTTCATTTAAATCTTATTACTTATTATTTTTCATATTTATATAAACTTTTTGCACAGTCAGTTATTTTAAATCCTTAAGGTTAGGGGCTGTCCATTAATCACGTGAGGCTTGAAAGGGGGGGAGGGGTTTGATACAAATCACAAAATAACACAAGGGGGAGGGGGGGTATAGTAAGATATCTCGTGTATTTATTTTTTCGACTAACGCGCGATTTTTAAACAAATATTAAGCGGCACGGCGCGGGGTGTAGTGACCTCGACTCGCCGTCATGGTGTAGACATTTTTATTATGGTCCTTAATTTCAGAATAAAATAAGATTATAGTTTATACCTGTATTTAAATTAAGATAATATTCAGAAAATTTTAAGATTCGTTGTAGGTACTAAAAATACACGTGATGTTGAGAAGGGGGAGAGGGGGTGGTCTTAAACCTCACTACGTATCACCAATGGGGGCGGGGGGGTTAAAAAATGCTAAAAAAAAGATCACGTGATTAATGGACAACCCCTTATCTGGTACAGAATACATATTAGCACTGTCTCACCATTTGTGCAACATTTATATGTGTGTGCAAATAAGATAAATAAATAAATAATTTTATCCCCAAATAAATATTATGAAACCTAAAAAGCTCTAATTCACCATACACATTCATATACTATAGATTTTATAATTAAACCTTTTTTTAAAATTACGTCTCTTTTAATTTTATTTCCAACGCCATCTTGGAAAATTCTCGAACAATATTTTATGGTTTTTGTTGAATGTATCAGAGAAAGTTGGTTGTGGACTTTCTAAAATAGACATTTGAAACTACAACTACTTATGGGAATGACTGTTCTTAGTGAATGTGTAGGGTTTAAAAATATGGATAAAATATATTAGTTTAAATGTTAGCCATTTATAAGTTACCACCCGTAAGAAATAACAATACTGACTATATGTACGACGGACGTTGAACTTCTGAGGTCAACGAAAACTACTAAAGTCAGCACAAGTTTGCATTGTCACTACATACGAAGTGTTTTCCATTTCTCATTTAACCTTATTCTTAAACCTGGCAATTTCCCAGCTATATCCAGGGTCTGCCTTACATGTTGTGAATAATTTTTTGCTTATTATTTTTACGACCAAAAAAAATCACATTGGTACTTGCCAGGATCGAACCCGCGCCCTCATGCATGAGAGAGGCGGGCCTTTTAACCACTAGGCCACCAGTGACTATTCTATTAAATAACCTACATTAATATTAAGTACGAGGATATTTTAATAAAAAATCCTTAACTGCTTTGTGTAGTTCAAAATGGTAACTCTGGTTAATCAAACAAAGAATCATGATTTTGTTTTTTTTCATATTTAAAGTTATTTTTGTTCGCAGATTGTAAATAAAGCAAGGGACACATTCGACAGCGGCGTCACCAAACCGATTGAATGGAGGAGGAAGCAACTGAAAAATCTTTTGAGAATGTACGAGGAGAACAGAAACGCGATGGTAGATGCCCTCGTTAAAGATTTAAGGAGGAGCAAAATGGAAGCTATTCTCCTAGAAGTAGACTATCTCATTAATGACATAAGAAATACTATTTACAACTTGGATGACTGGGTAGCACCTGTGAAGGTAGGTTTAAATTACATATATTGGAGTCATTTCGAATTACTTCTATGTATATACCACTTATAATCCTTAACTTAATTGCCTGCTTCTAGACTACAGAGCCATTTATTTTGATTATGTACAAAGTACATTGACCGCTGTTATTAATATTTAATAAGTCGCGTAATACTTGACTTTGAAATGTGACAAAGATAAGTGTTATCATACAATACATTACATTTTTACGATAAGCCAAGCCCGTACTATGTTATTAGCAAATATTAATATAGGAAATAATAGATTATATATTTATTGAGACAATAAAGTTGACATATTGAGATCTAAGACTTTTGCGAATAGTCACATAAATGAAATTAATATTTTTCGTATTATACTACATATTTTATTATTGTAAAAACTACATACTCCCGACTTTTCGGTTGTATTTCACGGGCAGAAGAAATGATAATGTCATTATTAATTTTCATACAGATAATAAAGTTGACATTCCAAGTCAGAATAAATACATAGAATTTCTTTTTCTATTTATATACCTACAATAGTTATATCACGTGTAAAAATAATGAAATTTGTTAATGCGAAGTCAGTCTGAAGATTCAGAACCAATTTCTTGTAGTACTCGCGACTTCAACACGAAAAATTATATATTTTGTTCATAAATAGTAATATAAAAAAATATAAAATAGTCTATAATGCAATGAAACATGTTAATACTATTGAATTGATTAAATTGTTTTATGAGATTTTTTTCAATCACGGTTTGCATAAGAACAAAAAATAGATACTGCATGATAAATAAAAAGAAAAACAAAAAGTTAGTTAATAAGAATAACGAAAAAGATATTTGGCTAGTATGAAAAATAATGATTTAAAAAAAAGTATGTAGTATTACGATCGTCTTTTGTTATTTTAAACTAAATTCTCGACGTTTCGGTAACTTTGAAAACGTGATGACGATTTTTCGTCTGCCCGTGACTTTTTTGACTCTCTTTTAAGCTATTTGCTGTAAAGTACCTTAACAGTCGTAGAAAGGGTCATTAGAATGGATCAAATGAAGTGAATGAATAATTAAGGGATTATTTTAATTATGTTTTGATAATAATTAATTAACATAGTATATACTATGACACCTTTTTTATAATGATAACTTGAGTTATTGAGATTTTGAGCTCTATGCTACTTATACAGTTAGTTATTGATAGTTTTCAAAAAATACTCTCAGTAATATTATATCGTGTGTATATACTCTAATCTCTTTATATATATAATTATTATTCCACTTTATACTCAGTTAACTGATTTTTCATATAAAAAAATTATAAAACATTTTTTCACTCACGACCAAATACACACTAATCATTAGTAATGTTGAGAGTTTTTTTGTATATTTATTTTATTATATAATGATATTGATTTATTATTTATCAATAATTTTGTATTCACCGACAAGTATCCACATTTCGGACTTTGGTCTGTCATTGTTCGTAAAATAAACATAATACAAGCTATTAACATAAATATTTTAAAAACATTTTGTTAGGTCCATACAATTGCATTTACGAGTACATCAATTTGATCAAAAAATAATTCAAACATCAGTCAATGTTGAACCAATGTGAATTAATTATCTTTGAAAAAAACAGGATATCCACAATTAAAGGCGCTTCTGAATAGATAAAATATTACATAAAAATATTTTAAGCTGACAAAAGATATTTATGGTGCTCTCTTTATTAAAATTTTATCACTTAATAGACTGATATCGTATTAAATATATAGATAAATTTTGTGATATACATATTTATATTACTAAATATTTTCGTATATATTTTTATTGCTATCAGTTTCCCCGCGGCTTCGGTCATATGTCTAAAGATCCTAGAGCTCTACCGTACCTAGATATAAATTTCATTGAAGTCATAAATGAGACTTTTTGTAAAATAAACAATAGTTTATTCACATTCCAAATAAATAACTGTTGTTATTAACATGTCTGAAACATTCGATAATTGAGAAATCTATCCATATCTGTACATATATATATGAATTATACAAGGTGGATGCATAAATTAAATTAAAAACAAGTTCAGTCCCATTTATATCTGAAAAATATGCCCTCATCGCAAAATAAGTGTTATTTTAATTATAAGCACAAAGTCTGCATTCAAGAAACAATTGAATTGGCATAGTTAAGCTAATAATATTGTAGATAATAAAATTATAAGCAAACCTGTTCTTAAATGTCGAGGATGTGTTATTACTAACTTTGAAGGTCGCAGTAATAATTGAATGAGTTTCATAAAAAGATACAGCAAATGTAGGTGAAACCGAACTTTGTATTTAATTACTCATTTGCTTGACAAGTAATGAGTACATCGGTAATTTATGTACATAATAAAATATTTTATAAAATTTTGCTACAGTAACATGACTTCTGATAACATTTTTATTTAATAAATGGCAAATTTTAAAGTAAATTTTGATAGCAAAATGTCATAATTACGTTGTTTTTTTCTCTTCTTTATCATTTAATCATACAAAAAGAATCATTATGTATATTGAAGACTTAAGAAAATATTTTAGCAGCAATGTATTCTAGAAATTTCTGTTTTGAAATTGAATACTTTAGTAGTTTTGGAAGACAGCCAGCTCACGTTCTTGTTGAATATACTAACAATTGTACTCAAACTACGCGTACACAATTGCACAATAATATACTGTTTAGTATATATTTGCCCATACACAGTATGCAAGATAAACGAACCGAAATGCACACAAAGTACATAGTTGAGAGCGCCATATAAAGAATAATTACAAATTTTTACTCAAAGCTGAGCAGTTTTCTGATGATTCATATAAAACTGGCTTAGAACTAGTTAATAATATATAATAGGACTAATTAATAACTAAAAACACTTTATTCCAAACAATGTTATTTAAAATCTCAACAAAGCCTTTCATTTGATACAAATAATATATAAGATCATTAAATGAAGTTCGCCATCTTGGAAACTGCAATATAGTTATAAAAATGATGAAATTTCTAACCAAATATTGTAAGATCGATCAGGTATGATATCTGCTTCAAAATAGTATTGAATAATTTTGTTATAACAACCATAATATACGTATACTTTCATAAACAAATATATGTATATACAATTAATAGAATACAATCGTTTTTACTACGTCTTGGTCCATTTATCCTCGTTACCCCATATATCTAATACGTCTCAATGTTCATTCAAACCGACTATTCAATCCAAATCTCGATTCTTTAGCAAAATACGCCATATATTGCAACTTACAGAACAATAATCAAGATAATCTTTTAAAATTCCAGCCCCCAAAAGGTTTGGTGAATATGCTTGATGATGTAGTCATCTACAACGACCCATACGGCGTTGTTCTCATCATTGGAGCCTGGAACTACCCTCTTCAGCTGCTTTTGCTGCCGCTAGCTGGTGCTATAGCTGCGGGGAATGCTGTCATCCTCAAGCCCAGTGAACTGGCTGAAGCCAGTGCTAAGTTCATGGTGGAAACATTGCCTAAATATGTGGATAGTGTGAGTGTTTGTATTATCCTATTGATTCGATTGTTTGATGACGTCACTACCTTATGGAGACCGCTGAAAATTAATTTAGAAGCATCATTAATGCTTCTTTAACGGAGTGAATCTCCATTTGGTATTGTTGCACTGCAGCACATTTTTTTTTTCCTTTTCCTTATTATATTTTTTTTTTGTGTAATTTCATTTATAGTATTTTTTTTTTAATGTTTTTATTTGTGAATAAGATCATTATTGTGTTGTAGTGCGAGTTTGACCAATAAATATTTTATTATTATTATTACATTTAGAACGATTTTTGGTAGGTTTTAATAAATGCTAAAAACATAGATATTCTTTATATTGTTGATTAACATAAAGTTAAATAATTTGTGTTATGTTTTATTCCTCAGGACGCAGTACTTCTAGTGGAAGGAGGACCCGAAGAAACTTCTGAATTATTGAAACAAAGATTCGACTACATTTTCTACACAGGTGGTACTAGCGTTGGCAGAATAGTGTATGCAGCAGCTACCAAAAACCTGACTCCCGTTACATTGGAGCTTGGAGGAAAGAGGTGAGGTTTATAAAGGAATATAAAAACTTTTTTAACACATGCCATAGTATAAAAAAAATTATACATTTAAATGAAACTAATATTTTCGGAACCGTGATCACGGGCAAACGAGATGTGAGTTCTGCCCGTGATCACGGTTGCTGAAAAGTAGCCGAAACGTCGGGAGTATGTAGTTTCTAAAATAAAACGCGAAGTAAAATCCGAAAATATTAGTTTCATTTAAATGTGTACTCGCGAAAATCTTAGATCTCATTAAAATTATACATTTTTTTAAACCTAGGTATTTTTTTGTTAGCGGCCAGTATATTCAACGTACATAGAAAGCCAATTTAACATCTACGTCTTAGGAATTCACCAAAACTTTGGAATCCACACAAATGCTTAATCGTATTTACAAATAAGTATTCGTATTATCGAAAATCGACGTTTATTTAGTTAGTAGACTTGTTAAGGAATAACGATATTTGACGTTTGTTACCACTCTAATCGTATTATAACATTCGAATTATAAATACATTTGAATTTATTCGTCACAAATTACCATATCAGCTCAAAATTTACATAAAATAATTCATGTTTGATCTAGTATTATAAAATTTCAGACTTGAGCAATCATCATTAAACGATTTAAACTCAATTATATTTTTAATACTTTTGATAACAAACAAATATGCATATCAAATAAAGTTCCTTTCATTCTCATACAGAATTTGTCATTATTCTCTTAAATATCACTTGTACAAACCAAATCTCGATAATACTCTATGGTTAATTATACTCTGTTTATAAAGACAATAGTCTATGGTTGTTTTTTTTTATCTTCAGCCCAGTTTACATAGACAATACAGTGGATATAGAAGTAACAGCCAAGCGTATTCTCTGGGGTAAATTTATCAACGCCGGTCAAACATGTATAGCCCCGGACTATATACTATGCTCGAGGAGCGTTCAGGACAAGTTTGTGGATGCAGCCAAGAATGTTCTGCGGGAGTTTTATGGGGAAGATCCGCAGAAATCACCAGATCTATGCAGAATTATTAATAACAGACATTTCAGGTATGATACTATATTATTTATTGCCATAGAATAAAGTCTGAAAATCTGAGAGCCAATCAAATTACAATATTGAAATTATCATCGCTTCGTTAGGACAAAGTTTTGAATTATTAAGGAATAACTGATATACATATATGCAGCATATATTACTTTTTTAACTACTATTGACTGATCTTAACACTAAATATGGTATATTAAATTTAAAATAAATCAAACGCAAAGGAGTCCCAAATCCAAAGAATACACAATATAAAATCCTAAATTAATATTCGTATACATCATAAATGATATTTCGTAACACGGTCAATAATCTCATTTGATTTATTTATTTAAAATTCAATAACATATTATTCTCGTCCATAAATTATGTTATGTTCCATTGTATTCATAACAAAATATTTATATCTTACATGAGAAGAATTTAAAAGATTTAATAAACGATTATAATTCGTAATCATTTCTTTCAGCCGTCTGCAAGCATTGATTGATGCTAGCAAAGATAAAGTTGCCATCGGTGGTCGGTACGACGCACAAGACAAATATATTTCTCCCACAGTACTAGCGAATGTTAGTGCCAATGACGTCATCATGAAGGACGAGATATTTGGACCTATACTACCCATTGTACCCGTAGAGAACGCATACGAAGCCATAAAATTCATTAACGAGAGGTAAAACGATTTTCTGCATATAAATAGGTTATACATTCGAAGTAGCTATGATATGACTAATGAGACCAAAATATTGGCAAATTTTAATTGTTGGTTATATTTGGTCTCATTATTTTTTTGCGCACATCTTCGCTACATCGAATGTCTCCTAAACAAGACGGGACATTACATTATCCTCACATCATCAAATAATGTGTGAGACACGGTTTCCAGGGAGCGTCAGAAATGATTGCTTTGATATACAAAAATCAACCTTATTTCATACAGATAAGGCATTATTTTAAGAAAAACATCACAGATTGGCTCAGGTTTCGTTTTTGAATTGGGAGTGTGAATCGCAATCGAGGTTTGAGAATCGCTTACCATAACGCTATAATGCGGCGAATAAATATTAACCTTATCCGGCAAAATCAAAATTATGTTAGCCATAACAAAAGGTGTATTCGCCGATATATCAAAGGGACAACCGTTCCAGGGAACATCCATTAGTTCTATACGTGTTCAGTGTCCAGAGCAACATCCAACAGCTGTTCACACAACAGACGCGATCAGGCAGTCTGTGTGTCAATGACACTATCATGTTTTACGGCGGTAAGATAGGAAACACGACATTACTGTTAACATCGTAACAATACAACGGATCTGGCTAACTAACAAGTGTCTAATATAAACCACGTTTTATTTTATTTATTTATTTTTGTAAATAGATTTCCTCCGTGAAAAATATTCAGCATTTTTGGTACTTACTGTCAACACTTCAAATTTAATTGTGACATCTGTCAAATAATTTTTTTCTATTAAATGTCTATTCAATACTTATGTGAACTTACTTTTCGTGATTTATATTATAGCAAAGGTGCTATGATTGCAGTATATGGTAACGGGTTCTGTAATTTTCACGCATTATATACATTTAAATGGAACTATGTTTTCGGGTATAATATTCCTTCATAAGTTGAAATTAGATTATAATCCGATTAAATCCGAGAGCATAATTCAATTTAAATGACCAATACGGTGTCGGTTCATATTATAGGTGATGGTAATTGTAAATAGTTATGTATATAACGTTATGTTGTATGTAAAAATGATATGGTGGTGGACCTCTGTAGGGAAAAGCCGTTGGTGTTGTACGCGTTCACAACAGATGAGCAACTCGCTAAACGGATAGCGGAGAACACGAGCAGCGGCGGGATGTGCATTAATGATACTGTCATGCAAATGGGAGGTATGATATGATACGATATATGATATGATATGATAGGGTAGAATGTTATAGGTATGAAATTATTTACTTTTCGCGGCTTCGTCTTCATAATTTTAACTCCAGTGTAGGCGGTGTGAAAAATTGTGATTTTTACATCTCATGAGTTGAGTACCGTCGGTGAAGCAATGTATAAAGGCATAAAAATCTTGTGTTTAGATATATGTAATATTATTTTATTAAATAATATTTTATTCAAATAGTATGATAAAAACTAAAATTAAACTTTTTGTATCTATCATATTTTTTTAACTGTGGGTTAGGAAAAAAAATTATGAACGCAATAATTTCTTATATAAGTAGAGTTTTCTAGTTTTTTTTACAAAGATGGAAGATTTTTACTACAAAGATGGAAGTTTTAAATAATTTGCAAATATTTTAAATATCACATTAATTTAATAAATAAATGTTTAGAATATTCCATTGAGATGGGTTTTCACTGTTAGTAGTGTCTAAATTTATTGAACCCTAAATATTATAGGTTGTCAGGTCATCCATTATTTAGTTTTTAATATCTATATATTTTTTTATATGGCAATACAAATTTCATTAGAACAGTAAGGTTTATATGACTGCTTATACTATTAGTTATACTTTATAATATTACAGTTATGTAGTTATGGTTTATGCCTTCTAAAATGTTTGTATCTTAATGTAGTATCTAACACTAAAACTGGATGCACGTGGATAAAATAATAAGAATGTGTCTTATTATTATTTTGTAAAATTATTTTCATTAATGGCAACTTTCTTTTCCTTAAATATCTGTACTTTCACTCTAGTGCTTAAAACGTTTATCTCTTGATCAATTAACATTTTTATTACTTTTAATATTTAAATTATAGTGAACTTAATGTGTATTAGAATAAGGTTTAAATTTCAGTTGATACATTGCCATTTGGCGGTGTGGGTAGTAGTGGTATGGGTGCCTACCACGGTAAGGCCTCATTCGATACCTTCACACATAAAAAGAGCTGCTTAATAAGAAACTTCGCTGCGATTGGTGAAAAACTTGGATCGTAAGTTAATTTTTATTCTCTTCATAATTGCATATAAATTTTATTAGAGCTTGAAACTTATTTAATTAGAAATTTGCTACATTTTAGACTGTAAAAAATAACATCATTTTATAATACACCAATAAATTAAATAACTTTTTCTGACAAAATGATATAAAAAATATAATATCTGTCATCACGATAAAAAATATTTAATATTAAAAAAAACTAACTACCCAGCTACTCCTTTGATTTGAACCAAAGCTGGTGCATATTAGTTATTGTAGGATTCAATAAAACTATTAAATTTGTCATGTATTTATTGTGCTTAGTAGCAAACTGAATGACAACAACTAATATAATAATCTACCTACATTATTATTTAAACAATATCAAGCAATTATAACTAACACATAACAGTTATACCACACCTCATACAATTTATTGTTATAAAGCTTACTTATTGTATATTTACAGAGGCCGTTACCCTCCCTACACGGATGGTAAGCTGAGCTTCATTACAACCCTGATGAGAAAACGTAACGGACCGTCCCTTAAATATCTCCCACACTTGATTGCCTTTGCTCTTGGAGCCGGAGTGGCATACGGAATAGCCACTTGGCAGAAGGTAAAGAAATGATGGGACCATAAGCTATTAGAAGATCATAAAAACTGACTAACAATTGTTATCGATTATACATAAGAGATTTTTAGTATAAAATTAATTGATTAAATCCCAAACAAAAAACAAACTAATGATTCTTTGAAAGAAAATACATAAATGACTATAAATTGCACAAATAATTTTATTTAACAGACAGTTTAATGTTATAAATCTGAATAATCTCCCATACTCCATTAAATGCGCAATTAATCATGATTTATATGCACAATATCAACGATGAGCACAAAAATGGTTATGATTTTGTAACAAACAGTATATAAAGTTATATATATAAGGTATTATTGTTATAACAGATTTTTTTAATATATCTCACCATGTATACCTATTCGTGTTTTATTTAAAAACAAGATGTTTAGTTTAAAAATTGCTATATTTTGAATTATATTCTTGGTCCCTTAAGATTTGTAAAGTATTAAGAAATTTATCAATTTCATTATACTCAGAAACATAACAGTATATGAAAATTAAAATAAAACATTTTTACATGATTAAAGTAATAAAAAATGGAGGTAATGGAATATTATATAAACTTGTGATGAATAGCTTTCTAAACTTATTACCTGGGTCACAGAAAGACAATAAACCAATACTTGTAAATGTTGTAAAAACAAAGAAATTTGTGTCTATTAAATTAGTGTTTTATAACTTCAAGAAGCAATGATTTGATAAATTAAAGAATAATGACAACAATCTTTAAAAATACAACTAGATTTATCTATATTTATCTTATCTCAAAGCCTAACCTCAATCTCATCATCTTGGTTCAGTGCTGCCATCTTTTAAACGCTTTTGACATATTTATTTATTTTACTTTTACTACTTACATTTTTAATTTTAAAATTATCATCTTGTTTCCATATACTAACTCCAAATCAACTTCATAAAATTATATGAACGAACTTTTTATTTTAAAAATATTGAATAATAAAATATTACTATTAATTATTATGTATTTTTTACAGATGTCCTCCGAGCAGATATAGTTCAGGAACATTTTAATACTTCTTTTGTGATATCGAGTATATACGAATTTTATTTTAATAATTAAAACCAATTTTTATCTTATGCATTTCAAACTAAACACTTTCACAACCAAAAGCTCAAATATCTAGAGAAACATAGTATTTGTTAATGCAATTTAAAGCACACTGAGAAGCATTTATTTACTCGTTTATTTTTTGTATAAAGTCGTATTAATTGCATTAATATTAAGGTTTTTGGGTCCAAAACATTACCTGTAACTCTTGCCAAGTTTATTTATGCTTATTTATGTTATGACAATGATATAATATATATTTTTTACGTTATGTTTAAATGTTAACTGTTTTAACTCGAAGTTTCATGAGGTTTAAACAATAAGACATGACCAAATGACATTACTAAAAAACAGATATTTCAGAAATTGGCGAAACATATTGATCTTGTAGTTTGGCTAAGTTTGAAATTAATTTATAAAAACATGAATTAGCTTACCATTTCTTTTGTATTGAGAACCCGATCTTTTTTATATTATTATGCTTGAGCATATTATCATAACCTACATACAAGACGCGTTGTATAATCTATCTAATAATGTCATTTGGTAAATATATTGTGAACTGTTAAGTTTTAACATTTATATTTAAGTTAAATTTTATATTGTAATTTGCAAATTTAAATTTTATTTTAAACTATACTTAATAAAAATGGGGAACATGAAAACTTTTTTACTTTCTTTGTCTATTCTTATTCCATTCCACACTTTAAGGAATAATTTAGCTCCATTTCCTAATTTGGAAGAAATTAATTCAGAAAAACCACTTCTTTTTCTTTTCTCACTTTTTTCTCAATAATGATAATTATTTCCATTAAAACAAAAATGAAAGTTTTGACAGTACAGGAATGTACTTAAAATAATAATGTAAATTTTTAGTCTTTGAAATTTGTTTTGTGTCATTTTAATAAATCAAGATAAGGTTTTATCCATAATCGTATGTGACATAGTATGTCGCACTTAATGTAAGGCGGCCAACTTTCCGAAAACTGAATGCGGGACTTAACTTTTCGTGAATGGCGGGGGGGGGGGGGTGTTAGGGATTGGGAATGTCATAAAAATCTTCGCAACTGCCCATATTAAATTTAAGTACTCTCTTACGAGTCATGAGTTCAGAAGATAGAAAATGAGATTAGCGCGGGCGCGATACGCTTGTCCCTATTATAGGTAACCTGTGTTCCTGCACTGTTGACCTTGGTATGGGTGTTGTGTAGAAGTGTGGTAGAAAAATAGGGATGCGGGACGCATACAACGTTTTGCGGGACTATTTTACGAATAATTTCAAAGCGGGATATCGTCTAGAATTGCGGGACGGTCCCGCAGAATGCGGGACGGTCCCGCAGAATGCGGGACGGTTGGCCGCCTTAACTTAATGCTATATGCTATCTACTTATTCATTTATATTGAACTACCAGATTTAAATTTTATAGAAATATTTTGAGTAAACACATATTACTCATGCAACTATATTAAAACTAATGAATGATAAAAACATAATTTTAGACACAATTTACCAATATCCTTAATGCTTAAATACAACGAATGAATTTATTTGTAAGATTAAAATTACACTCCAGTACTTATAACATGAAGTACTTAAGATTGCCTACAAAATATATGCACCAAAATCTCAATGAGATATTTTCTCTTCAATAAGAATACTACTAAAATAGATGTTTTATTAAAGTTAAATTAATAAAGCAGAGGTCACATGTGACAAATTTATTCCCATGTTATTTTATGTAAAATAGTAGGATCTAAGCTTAAACTAGATCTCGCATTCTTATTTTATAAGAATTTTTATTAATAAGCAAATGCAACTGAGGAGAGAAGAAAAAAGTTTAAATTTTTGATTGCATTGCATAATGTGTTTTCAAATCATTGTAATAGTAAAACAATCAGAATAAAGGAATAAAGTTATTGAGCTGTGGATACACTATGGATGGTAATTGCATAATCTAGAATATTTGTAGCAGTTGATGTTCTGAGACCAAAAAAATAATCATTTTAACTGTCTGGAAAATCCATACCTTTACTTAATGAAACTAGAGGTCATAGAAAAGTCATAAAACATGTTCAATAGGAGATCTAACATCAATAATGCAAAAAAAAACAGTGCACATACAACCATTTTTTACTATTAATCTTCCTGTAAATAATATTGAGATAGGTATGAAAGTTAATCTAATATGAATTAATGGCAAAAATAATACTGAAACAGTGTGTATGTAAAATTTCTTTGGATCTGGAGAATTATGGGTGTGATGATGTATATTTTCAATTTAAATATTAAAGAAACCACATCAAATGTTTCAAACACGATCCAGTAAAATTTACAGAAAAAAACAACAAATAATTACAAATTTTGTGGATATTTACGATAATAGAAGCTTTAGTAACAGCCTCGACTTAAAAGATCCAAATTCTGAACAGATATGTCTCAAATAAACCCAGAATTAAGTAACAACCACACACCAAAACAAAAATATTTAGACAATAATACGAAATTCACCTCACACTATGAAAATAAGAAAATATTTAAAACGAAACTAGAAAATTATTAATTAGGTATTTAATGATAATCACGATAAAATATCGGCGATTACCGTACTTTACTCTTTGCCTCCTGGATCCAGCTAATTATGTATAATGTATATATCATAAAAAGATAAGATTTAATAAATCATTATTTTATTTGTGTCACCTATAGGTGAGCCCATTTCTAATATAGTGTATTATCTATGGGTGAGCCTTAACAAAATAAACCATTTCGCATGTCCCGCTTAAGAGAAAGTAATGTTGGCAGTGTTAAAAATTATGACAATATTTTAGTTTGATTTAAATATTATTTAGAAGACCCTAAAGGTTATTAAAACTAATTTATATTTTTTACATAGGATTTTTATCATGCTAAATTAGGATAACTATAGCAGGATTATTATATTATGTAATTTGTTTTATTACTTTGTGATAAGAACATTTATTTCATTTACATTATATAGAGAAATTTATGATTAAAAGAATGAAAAACTATTCTAAAATTTTTTCGTAGTAGTATACCAATAGTTCTAGCTAAGACAGAACTGAAAAAGTTTAGCCCAAACAAGTTTCTAAAAGCCACATATCTCGTACAAGGCCACTTAGTAAATAATGAAATTTATTTAGTATTGTAAAAATAAGAAAATTTTCATTAAAAGTTAAATCCAAATAAAAAAAATATGATCAATATTTAATACAATCAAATAATTACGTCATATAGCAAAAATATAGATTATAAAAGTCAACGAAGCAATAACCATATGGCAACATATTTTTATAAAGTATTAAGTAATAAAATTTTGTAGTTACACGATTAAAGTTTGTTCATAAGAGGTAAGCTTGTTAAAATAAGGATTTATAATTAATTGAGAAATACTTTCTTATTAAGTTAAAAAAAAAACTAGACATGACCAAAAACAATTTGTTATGTTGCAATACTGTCCTACGAACGAAACGAAAGTGCTTGTGATGAGCAAAGACGAATAAAAAGTGTCGATAGGTCAATATTCTGCAGAAATTAGCCAGAATCTTCAGGTATCTACAAAATATATTAAATAACCACCCTCGCATGTGAGGGTACTATGTGGTGGTGCTGTTCTTCTTCCGCTAGTTCAGGTGCTTATTCACATTGAGGGCTTGTCTGACTACTCCCTTCCCATATTCCTATACGGCGGCCATATTTATAAGTCATGAAAGGCGTTGACGCTCATCATAATTATTTGCGTTGTATTCTTTTTCAGGACCGATGGCTGCGATACGCAAAAAATTAGTGATTGTTGGTGATGGTGCATGCGGTAAAACATGCCTGTTAATCGTATTTAGCAAAGATCAGTTCCCGGAAGTGTATGTGCCGACAGTGTTCGAAAACTACGTTGCCGACATCGAGGTTGACGGCAAACAGGTGGAACTAGCCTTATGGGATACAGCCGGTCAGGAGGATTACGATCGACTGAGGCCACTCTCGTACCCGGACACCGACGTGATCCTCATGTGCTTCTCGGTGGACTCGCCGGACTCGCTCGAGAACATCCCGGAGAAGTGGACGCCCGAGGTGAAGCACTTCTGCCCCAACGTGCCTATCATCCTGGTGGGCAACAAGAAGGACCTGCGTAACGACCCGGCCACCATCAACGAGCTGCGCAAGATGAAGCAGGAGCCCGTGAAGCCTCAGGAAGGCCGTGCCATGGCTGAGAAGATCAACGCCTTCGCCTACCTCGAGTGCTCCGCTAAGAGCAAGGAGGGTGTGCGCGAAGTGTTCGAGACGGCCACCCGCGCCGCGTTACAAGTCAAGAAGAAGAAGAAGACTAGGTGTTCTCTGCTGTAATTGTGCTGTTGTCGGAAGAACTCTGATTTATGAATGGTTCGCATACTGCCTGATAACTTACGTTTGATATGACTCGAACTCTGCAGCAGTCGCGACGTCGGCCACACAGTGCTTCCTTCCGATACTGAAAGCTGACGCGATGTCGCGGCCCGCGTAGCACGCACACCCACTCAGTATTCGTGTGGCTATACTTTCACAATTGGTACTTGTATATTTTATAGAATATCTATAAAGAGTAAGCGTAATTAATTGCCTTAACAAATGTAGTCGAGGCGAACATGGTTCCTCGTCTTGTTGGATCCACTGGAATTTTTCATGCTATACTGTCCTGTTATATAATCAAGTAGCATTTCTTCAACATAGATTCCTGGACCGTTGTCGTCTCAGCGAGACTTTATTTGTTTAGTTTGGTATTTTGTATTTTAATTTTTTTCAATAAAATAGTTATGTATAAATTATGTAGGAAGTTTATTTGACATGGAGCGCAGGCCCTGTTCTAACTCAGCTAAGTGCCTGTCAGCTAGACTCGTCTTTGAGACATTCAATCTGATTCTAATTGTTTAAGGCAGTTTTATTGTAATCTATTGTTTGTGTGAAATTTTAACTTCCATATGGTTATATTGCATGCTAATATAATTTATTAGTAATTAAAGAACCCCATGTTTTAACTATTCTTTTCTAGACTTTTTGACTTTTATAAAATTTAATACAGCATTTATAAATCAAAGGTATCTAGGATGGGGGAGATATTTAAGTTAAATTCAATCATCTATGTTATGTTTTATTAGTATTGTAAGTACAAAATTATCTTTCAAATATACATGAATTAACATAAATTAGACTTCCTTTTATAATTTTAAGATATTTTGGATCTATTCCAATTACAAATTTATTAACTAATCAATGGAGCTTTCAATTTAGGCATTCCTTGTCATCTTTATAAGTTGAAGTGGATTGAATCTCCTCTTTGGTGTGGACATGAGTTGTACATGCTTGTTTCTTGTGTAGGTGCGGTAGGGAACACTTGTGCCAGTCGGCAGACATGTCTCTTGCCCCACTAACTCGGGACTCCAGTCTGAATACACTAAAGTGTCCACACATGCTAGGAAATTGCCTTCCAATGGTGTTATTATATACAAAACCTCCTTATCCCAATCAACTCCTCGGACAATACCTGCAAGTACATACATTATTTGCACTATATTATAGCAGTTTTTATCATATTATTAATGTACCAGTTACATCATCACTGACTCATTGCTTGGTTTAACTTGAAACAAGATAACATAAACTTTGTTTAAATTTTTCTATCTATTTTCAATTATATTGTTACGATCCAATTATTAAATGGAAAATTTTTATTAATATATTTATTCTGCTCATATCAATGTTATCATTGATAATCTTATGCAGTAGGTAATCAAATATTTGAGGACTAAATTACTTTTTATACAAAAAACCTGATACTAAAACAAATATGATATAACATAGTACAGTCAAAGGAGAATAATGTGTTGAGTGAAAAATGTATTTCTTGTAAAACAATGAAATATCTCACCATATCCATAACATATGAATGGTTTATCATCTAATGTAAAAACTCTATTGTCGCATTGTCTTAACATCTGACACAGTGCCACGATTTGTCCATTGATAACTTTTGTAATACATTCTTTCATTACAATCACATTGGTAGCTACGTTGATATCTTTCAAGTTCACCCTGAAATTATACATACATTACATATATTTGAGATTTTACATACATGTTATAATTAATATGATCGATAAACAAAGTTATCTTGACTACTTAATACGTCATGCTACAAATATTTCAGGTATTCGGAACCGTTCTAAGAAAAAGTTACAATGATTCTGCATTAACCGTCAAAAATATGAGTCATTTAGGCAGGAGTATGATATGTAATTCGATTATAGCACCGAGATAGATTTATATAGAATACAAAATAGTATCTCATTCATTGATGTTTGTTTCTTAATATGAGTACACAAACACCTGTTGCATTCCGCTAGACTAATGCAAAGCGCTTTACAGCTGTTATTATACGTATAAATGCCAGGTTACGTACTATACAGATTGTATATATAAAACACTAGGTTTCAACATATATTACTTTATAAAAGATAGCATTTTAATTAAGATAAAAGGTCCTCATGAAACTGGCCCGTTTAATAAAAATCATTTAATTAACTTTCATCGTTCATATTAATTCTTAATAATTTTGAGTTCAGTAACTTCAATAAATGAATGGTGCGAGTGCGTCGTGACATCATTAGCGGTTATGCGTCATGAATTATAAAAGAGGTGACGTGGTGCAAACATCTTCATACAAACATGTTTACTTTTGTATTGGAAGCTACAATGTATTTTATCATCGGCTAACCTTAAAATACTGAAAAATCTAACAGTATTTGATAAATCGATATAGTATTCCGATGCTATATTAAAGGCTTTTATGGTCTATATATAAAAAGATCACCGTGAATTGCAAAAAGACGTTCCATATCTAGGTTTACATAATATAGGTCAAGGTAGCGTATCGTAAGCGGTAAAGTAATTTTAGACGCTGGATTTATAACTTTTTATAGTCTCTATGAATTACTAATTAATACAAACATTGGTTACTGTTAAATACAATTTAGAGTTCAGACCATAAGTTATTTTAAATACGTAATATATTATGTCTAATGAAATATGTAATTTATTTTGTCTAGAACTCTAAAATGACACGAAAATAAGGAGAGTATTAAACTTATTTCTAGTTTTGGCAACGACTTCACTTCCGTTAAAGATTATTTTTGATGTACAACAAAAATAGTCACTAATGCTGGAGCGATGCAAAAGAAGATTTTTCTTTCGAAATTTACCATAAAAAAGTGCAGATTTAAAATTATTCACATTAGTTAAAGAAAAACAAAGGAAAGTGAAATCATGTTTTCAAATTCATATAAATAGTAAGGATACTTACTGGTAAGGTGTTATTGCAAGTAAACTCTTTACTTTATGGATAGTTAGTAATTGACCAAAATATGCCAAGAAGTTTAGATATCTTTCATCTCTAGGTGCTAAAGCGTAACCATTTTTCAATGAGCTATCCGCCTCGTCTGCTACAACAAACTTATAATACAATTCCTCCGGGAAAGTAATGTTATTAAACAAGGGATCACTTTCATTATCTTGGAATATAAGTTTTATATTGGAAGGTCTTAAGAAGCTTTCGAATCTTCGTTTAGAATTCTTGGATTCGTATTGCAGTAGATAAGTTGGTCGTGTTAATATAATGATCAGTGTTATGAATTTGAGCCCTAGAAAGTTCGTCATTCCCATTGTGTTCACTATCCACGGCATTTCGGAGTAAGGTTTGTGATTGCGGCAGTGTGATAACAATTGCTGTAACGCTGCAACATAACGCCTTGCATTGTCCATTGTGTTTATCATGCCGATGTTAAACATTCTGAAAAAATAGTCTCCATATATTTTAAAGCTTCAATTAAGTTACTTAATTTTTCACTTATAAATTTTATATTAAATATAGTTGTATTTAATTAATTGTAATAAACTAAAAGCAACTTAAAGTAATACACTATTAAGTATCATTAAATTATGGTAGGCTTTTATTACTATTGAAACAAAGATGAATGAATGAATAAATTAGGTTCTTGCTGATATAAAATTAGTTCTTTCCAATATTATATAGATAATCAATGAATACAAACATGTCTGGTTTCTTTAGATGTGTGAAACTTGGTCCTAATAATGGTTCGGACACAGTCGTAGCTGATATTCCTCCGGCAACTGTGAACTCCGACTGCCCAGGGTCCAGATCCACAACTAAAAGTGGTCCTTGAGAGATTAATTTATTTACTTGGTATCTCAAATATGTAGATTTTCCAGAACCTTTGCCACCACAAATGATTCCACGGCTATGTTTTTCTGTAAACAAAAACACCATATATATTCACACAAGTTATAATCATATATAAAATATTCCATTCTGAAAAGATTTCACTGTATTCATACCTAGAGAATATTTAACAGTCTCTTTCCAACTTGGATTAACTTTGAAGCATCTAGCTGGCCGTATAGAGAATAGAGAACAATTTAATATATTCGTTGCTTTCGTAAAGAAAGGTTCAATGTTTTTTACAGATCTCACAAACAAGTTTGTCATTTTAAAATTATTTTCTACAAAATCTAAACACTGGTTTACAAGTGGCTTTAAGAGGACTACTCCATCGTGTTCCCCAATAGTAATCACTATTTCTTCAGCCTCGGCAACTGAGAGACCTGCTTCAGTTAATTTCCCGAATAACCCATAATAATCATTTGGTTGATCAGTAGTTTTTATACTGTGAGCATAGCTGTAGAAGGGAGCATATAATTTACAAGTATCATCTTTAGGAGTGTATCCAAATATATCGATTGAACCATCTAAAACTCTTATTGAAACTTTTCCTTGGACGAACAATTCCGTTGGGTGTTTCAATATGATGATGCAGCATTTGTGGCCGTAATATATCTTGAATATGTCTATAACCTTATAATAATCCTCATCTGTTGAAGATTCTTTATCACTCAACGGTTCAGATTGCATTGTGTCATTTACAGGTACATCTGTAGGTATAGAAGTGTCTATTTCTAGTATTTCTGCTGTTGAATCAAGATTTATTATTTCCTCTATTTCATCAATCTCATTATCGGATGAAGGTTCGGGGGTCAAACTCCCGATATCTGTCTCAACTTTAGCATCAACATTCAAAGGTTTGTCTAGAATAAAATTTGAATACTCATCCACGGTTACAGATTTTTGTTGGGATGGTACATTTTTTATAGTTGTATGTTTATAATCGCCTAAAACATCAGCGAAACTTTGAAGTGGTACATCAACGGCTGAAATGGAAACATATGGAGGTGAAAATGCAGAGGAATCTTTCTCCATAGGCATAGAACAGGCAGATGAGTAATCATCGGAGTCTTGTTCAACTTCTTCAAATACAGTTGGAATAACAGGGCTTTTTACGGATTTAATTTTGCTTTCTACAACTTTTGGTACTTTACGCTTTTCAGATTCAATATCATGTTTTCTTTTGAGGTTTTCTTTCTTTTTATTTTTGATTTGAAGTTGTTGAATAATTTTAGCAGCCAGTAAACCATCCGGGTCAAATGGTTCTGAACTGTTTGACTCACTCTCCGACTTAATCCCACTATTTGCATGAGATGCTTCACTGTCTTCTAGTGACATGACATCATCAGATTCTTCATTCAATTCTTCATTAATAGAAGATTCTTCATTTGATTCTTCAATAATACAATCTTTATTCTTGCTACCACTAATTTCAGAAGACTTAAGAGAAGTAACTTTATGTACAGTATTACTAGCATTTGTATCTAACGAATCATTTTCGCCTACCGAATCATTATTTTCCAACTCCTTATGACTTGTATGTTCATTTTCGTCAGAATCGGTTAGATTTAAATCTGAATATCCACTAACTGATGTAGAATTACTATCATACTCTGTTATCTCGAGTGCCGATGATTTTATAAGATTTATATCGCTTTGTTTATAGCCATGTAACATTTGTTTCAGTTGTTTCTTAACATTTTTTTTGGACTTATTATTTGAAGATGTTTCATTGCTGCAGGCAACGTGTGCTTTTACAAAAAACTCCATATCGAAATATTTAAATTAGAAAAACATTTAATACTGTTGTTTCACTGAAAACCTACTTTAGACACTCATAAATATTATTTACGCAATTCGTATTCAGAAATAATATTGTACTTTTACTTATTATTTATTAAGATTTCGGAATTCGGATTATTTGAAATACATGCGTTTTTGACTTTGACAATCACTATCATTTTGATTACTTTGACAATTTTTTTACTTTGACAATTTTTACATCTTTTGGACAAAATTCCATATCAAAAAAAACTCTATATACTCTACAAAAGGATTTTATACAACTATTTTTGAAAGAAAATCTTGAATATTTGATTCATTTTATTAATCATAGAAACAATCGAGAACACATACAAATTTTAAAAACCTTATTTAGTAGTAAATTCCGACAACGCTTCAAAATCAAATAAAACTCAGAATTTAAATTGTAGAAAACAAATAAATGTTTTATTTTGTCGCAAAATAATGTTTAACGTAATATGAGAAATTTCCTAAGGTAGAATAAATTTATCACGTAATAAAAAATTAAAAATATTTTTGCATACAATTACTGTGATTAGTTTTAAAATGATTAAAATAACTAAACTGCTACAAATTATATATTTTCTTAAATTAAAATGGCTTTTTGTTCTATTATTGGAATCTGTAGAGAAATTTGACTTTCTTTTAAATGACATCTCTGAATAAACAATGTTATTTTCTAAAACACTAATGATCACCTGAAAGCTGTCAAATATTTATTATGTTTTTGGTTAATAGTTTATTGATATATTCGTTATTTTTATCTCATTTATCAATATTTTTCGACATTAGGATATCACAACATATTTTAATACAATATATCCGTCAATACTTCTCCAAGATATTTTAGTAAAACAAAATTATACCGTGTTTATCAAGTTTTGTTAGCGGCACATGAAGTAAGTGTAAATGTATGCTAAGACACTGTTTAAAATACTTAATTTGACTCTCATCACCATTTTTAAATAATTTAATATATCCTTACAATAACAAGTATGTAATAGAGTTTCTTTAACACACGTAGGGAGTGGGAGGGAAAGTATGTTTATACTTTTTTATTACTGTACATAGATAAAAATAAAAGGAAATAATTTTGAAATTTTTATATATTCCAGAAATTAACTTATAGAAACTTATTTGTATGTAAATAAACAAATACTTTTATGTAGAAAACTTTGTTACACTGCTTATGTACAATAAAACATTATCCAGACAAAGTTGGAGACAAAAGCTTGTATTTAATTTTTTATATTATTACATATACCTAAATACAGTTAAATGTATGCAAAAAAAGGTATAAGAAATTACAAGACACAGCAAAAAAAAGTAAATAAAACTTATACATAATCTTTATATGTTTAAATTGTGCCTTTACTGAATATAGAAATATAAAATAAAATAAAATTTGTATATATATATATATTTGTAATATATGTATTTAATAAAAAGACTGGTTTTTAAATGTTCCCAAAATATTTAACAAATAAACTACTTCTCTAAGAAATTATAAAACATCACATAATTACTAAAAATAAAATAAATTTACATAGTTATATTAATTTTTATAATGTTGTATATTTAAAGCTATGAGGTATGGTTTATTTAATAATAATTAGTGATGCATATTTGTCTTTGCTGTCTCCATATCTTGTGATTGCAGTAACCTCTGAACTTTGACTCTGTTTATAATTGCTGGCTACTAAAATACTTATGTCTTTGCTTGATGTTATTTAATTTAAATCGTATTTTTTTTTAAATAATTACTATACTACGTAAATTTATTTTTATATTTACTAAAATCTTAATCTCTTAAATTATTGTAGGTATTTTTATGACGTATTTATTAATGCTTTAAATTTATATAATTGTATACTTTAAGAAAAAGGACGCCTTCAAAAAAGCGCGCGTAATCCTTAAATATACTTTTAAGGACATTGGAGTTTGATGCCGCCATTTTAATGGTAAATTGGCGCGTATTAGCCCGCTTTATAAACCACTTCTGATCCGTCATTGTAATTGAACATGTAGGATCGTGTAAAGAATAAATAAATTCGTGTAAAATCCCGATAGTATTTAACGGGGTTATTCACTATGGAACCCTAGAAACTGTTAGATAAATATTGAGATATGATACGGACGTACAAACTTCATGATTTATTATTAGTTAAATAAATGAATAGGGAATGCCAACAGTGTATAATGTGTTTTCAATTGTGTGCGTATCTGTGGGTGAGAGGAAAGTGTTGATAAGGTATATTTCTTTCAATAACACCATTTTATGATATACAATAAAATTTTTAGGCTATTTAGTGGTGTCGTATACAGTTGGGAAGGTGACTTACATTATCGTAAAATAACGTCAATTTTATTGATCGTCAACAAGTAAATTGAGATTGTGCTTCAATTTTTATATAATTTATATATTTTTCTGATTATATGTCAGAAATTTTTCTTAAGTGTTATCATAAGAAGTAAATAATTGAAATTTTAAACTATCGTAAAATGTTTTAACTTACGAAAATTTTATTGAAGATAATTGTTGAGGATTTAAAGACTGGAGTCAACACTCAACCATATTAAAACACGATCACCGTTGCGGTAGGTTTTCTAATGTTTTCTGTTGTTATAAAAATACCATCTTATATAATAAATGTGTAAGATAATTAGTAAAGAAAAGTGATAAATGGAATTTAACTTTTTTGTTTTACTTTATCGCAGGGCAAATTGTCCTTGTTTCATAATTAACAAAAGATATGTCTTCTCTTAAATAAAAGTATTATTATAACTTCAGTATTCGCTATTAAATTTTTATAAAAAACAAAAAAATATAAATTGAGTTACGAGATCACCTACTTTTAATGAAAAAATAATTTATAATTCTATTTCTGTACTACCGATGTTGTTTTTCTTCCGATATTACGAATGATAAAATATTCCCAATACATAATTATAAAATTTTTGAAAAAAATTCTTTATTGCTAAAATATGTAACAAACAATGTAAAATTTTTTTTTTAAATAACTATCAGTACGAATTCCACAGTTTGTAAAGAGTTTTATTTTTTATAATGTGTAAATATACAAAAAATTATAATTTAAAATATAATGAGTTATAGCTTTTTTAAAAAGTGTAATAAGGAATAAACTTAACCCAGTGATGTATGCTTGGTTATTCCTCTTTACCTAACAGAAACATTATCACCAAACGTTTAATTTCTTTACTTTAATAAATTTCAACATCCGTCCATACTATTGGTTTACCACGTGACTGAAGATTCGAGCAAAAGTTCAAGATAAATTCCGTGATTAAGTCAATTAAGCAAATTAGGTTCCGTGTTTATCACATTAACCTATTACAACGTGGGTATCTGATATCGACCGAACTAATTACTATATTAATTAACAACAAAAGAATTCAAAATCATTAAACAACATACATATATAAACTCTTTGCATTTTTTTAAAATTTCGAATCTAAAAAAGTTGAGGACTCGTCCCTATTCACCCCGTTCAACTATAGAGTATTTACTATAGCGACAGTGAAATATTTATTAACATCCGCCCGATATATTATGAAATCAAATTCCATTATCTATTGTTATTTAAAGTTTCATACAAGAACCACTAAATATGCCAAGCTCAAAACCGCCGTCGTTTCGATAAAGCCAATTCATAAATAACTCCGATAAGTATTAATGTTTCATAAAATTACTTAATATGTATCTAACGAAAGATAAACATGTTTATAATTAATATAAATATTTTACTTATTCTTGTTTTTATGGAGACATAAATGGTGAGATTTAATTATATATTTTTTTATCACGCGTATAGTTTAAACTTTTAATAATATTGAACTCGGTTTAAATGATACCTCGCCGTCGGTGTTTTCAATAATAATTTATAAAGTCACGGCAAATCTTCATTAAATATTTAACATTTCAATTAATCTAAAAATTATTTAAATTCTCGGCAATGTATCAATGTAAATAAACTAACTTATCCGAATGGACTACGTATAGAAATTATTATTATAAACATTTTCGTCGACTTCTTGTTAAATAAATTTTGTAATGATATTTATAAATTTTACCATATTTTTCTAGTTTGCGTAATGGAACTAGTGTCATTCGCCAAAGAGGCGCTCCAAGGTGCCGCGGAGCATGCGGCTAGCTATCGTTTAGGACAGACGGTCCTACGGTACATGGACCGGGCGCTGTGGGTCGTTGAGAAGAGCGCTAGATGGGCTGTGCCGCCACCGCGTAGGTTTTATATATATTTTTTTTATTCATTTATTGGCTGTATATTTAAGGTTTTAACCTATAGATGAAGGCAACTTTTTTTTAAAATTCAAAACAGCTTATTATAGTCTATCGTATACCAGAAATTTTAAAATGTATATTTTGAATTTTCAGTGGATCAAGACGAACGCCCGCAGGCCGAGCTTATCCGTCCCTTGAACTGGGTTATGTTTCTGTCGCTACTGGTCGTGCTGCGAGTAACGAGAGAGTCCATCTCATTAATAAACCTTGCTCTTGGAAAACCACCACTTAGATCAGCGGACGTTGTAAGTATAACTGTTACAAGTTGTGTAAAAAATTTATATTATCCAAAGAATGTAAAGAAAGTATGTATAATGGTTCGTTGTAAAAGAAATGCCGATGGGATCAAATTTAAATAAAGAACACAGCAAATCTGAATTCAAAATAAAACCTTAATTAAAACACGACGATTTCTTTCAAAAATAGAATACGAATACAATATCGAGTAATTGATCAGGTTAAAATTTTAAATATGGAATACGAGATTCAAATTTCGAACACTCTCAGGTGAGCTACATCCAGAGTAAGCGTCGTTACCTGCGCACCCTCAAGTATTCCGGCGGGCGCGCTCTCCGCTGCCGGACGTCCCCCGGCGCGCCGCGCTCTTGGGGCGAGAGACTCGTGCAGCTGTTACAGAGGACCATGTGCTACAGGAAATGTGGGGAGCCGCAAGGGGACAGTGATGAAGTCATGGTAACCAAATATTTATATAAATTATTAATTTTTGACAAATATTTTTTATAGATCATTCTTTGGTATAAATAATATGCTATAATCTAATTTTAATTTTCAAATGTAAAGTATTACTAATAAGAAAGAAAACCCTGGAAGAATGTAATCAGGTGCACCAATTCTTACAAATATTGCAATGGAATTTATAACATAAATCCTGCCCATGTGTGATCAATCCAGATAATTATTAGTAATTTTTAAAATGTGTCCACTAAAAGGTTTCTGAGCATTTTATAAGGGCTAAAGCCTATGCTATGTTGTTAATCTCATACCATATCACCTTCCCCTCAATCAGATTACATCCTATGAACTTTCTTTATAGGCTAAGACACTTAACTTTCATGGCAAACCAATTTTTGTGATATACTCTTTACAGATAACATAATATTACAATTTTCATTCATGAATTTCTCACACAATACTACCAACTTATGTATATAACTAAAAAACTATATGTATTTAGTCTGAAGCTCAAACCCATAATACAGTATATTTTACTCAAATTGAATAACAAATAATATCTTATATCTTCATTACTTCTTTATGTATTAATCCATACTAATATATATTCCAGGTTGTTAAACGCAGCAAGCGTATCAGACAGGAACCGAACCCTGTACCCTCGGAAACCAGTATGGAGAGGCTCATAGAAAAAATGATGGTTGATATGGAGGATTCAGATGAATCATCAAGTTATACTGTTAGTTATATACAAGTTACTGCTTATAAGTTATTACATGAAAGTTATTGTACAGAAGTTATTTAAATAATTCTATGGAATTTAGTTACCTCAATCATATTGAATTATTACACATGTGTATAACACAAAACTAAATTTTATGAATATTTATTGTAATGTTTATTTATTTATTTAATGTAGTATAAATAAGTTGTGAGATCCACAAAAAAGTATTTTATACCTATATTGTAAATATTATAATATATATATTTGATAAATAATATAATAATATACATATATATTTGAGAAATTAAATATTTTATAAAATAATGATGTTTTTATCAAAAATATTTTATCACTGATACAAATGTCTTAAATACATTAAGTGTTTAATACCCAAGATTGTATTTAATCTTTTTACTATATATTTTATCTTTCAATATTAATATTATATCATAATATTATGTGCTTATTTATTTGACATTATACTATTATTTTAAATATTTTTTACACATTTTTAAAGTACATATATTTTCTTATATCTCATTTGAATTACATAGAATTTAATAATCAAATTGTTTTAAGCACTTTGGATATATAACATTAATGGAAATTATTTTTTAAGCTCACAAACGTCACGAGTGCGAGAAGCGATAGATCAGACTGCACGGAGTCCGATCAAGATGCACACAAACACACAAACGCACACATAGACGAACAAAACAACGAAGAAATATCAACGGAACTTCACGGAACTCCACGGAAACGAGAGTCACTAGATGTAATAAGGTCGGGACTTAACGGAAACTCCAAAGAGGCGACCATCGATTTCATTCAGACTGAAACAGGACCAGAGATTGTCGTTCAGAAACATAAGAAATTTGGTAAGATTGATGATAGTATGCCGCTAGATGTCGCTATCAATAAATTTTACTTAAAATTTATTTATTTCGTATTTTACAGCCAATGGACGAGCGCAAAATAATTCTTTCGCTAAAGAAAGGTAATATAATATTCATGATTGTATATCATATGTGTATAAGTAAATACCTATTCACATATAAAGAGTAAAAATATATTTGACAAAGTAGTAAATTAATATGCTCTGTACAAAAATTTCAGGAATGCAGATGAATCTTGGTCAAACAATGAAAAGTGAAATATAAATACATATAAATAGTAAGTAAATCTCATGAAAATTAAAACTATAAATTTTCATTACCCAATTCTAGAGCATAATTGGGGCACTTAATCAAGTAATCATAAGTCAAAAATTCCTTATATTATTATCAAAAAGAGCTGATCCTCTTATAGTACTGGGCCGATATTAACCAAACATAAATAAGAACTATCATAAGGAAACAGGCTTTCAAATTTAAAAATAAATTGTGCATGGTATTAAGAAGTGAATCTTCATTATTTCTGAGTGAAAACAGGAAGGCATAGAAATTGACTTTTAGTGTTTTTTTAAGACAGACTTTAGTAACATAACTCATATGATTGCATGCGTTCGAGCGCCACGCATTCCCTCTTGTTTTTTTTTCCGTCCCAGGAGCGTTAAATATTTAACGCAATCTTGGAAGTTGCATAAGAAGTTTCACTTCATATAAATTCTTTGATATCGGTAGATCCATTTAAGATCTATGCCACACATATTCACACATATGATGATAAACTCTTTATACCATTTTCTTTTGGCATTTAAAGTTAAAAATGTTTATAATAAACAAATAATTTTGCTTCACAGGTAAAGGTGCAACGAATCCGTGAATTAAAAGCACCAACTGTTACCCATGACATAGGTTATATAATATATAACCGTATATATAACATATAATATATATAATAAAATATATTCTGAAGCATCCTGTTTCAGGGTTGCTATATCTTGGTGCATGAAAACCATTTAAATTATATTTTTATTAAGTTCATATAAGTTGTTTATTAATCATTAACTATTAATCACTGAAACCATGAGTGTTTTAAGGTGGCACTTCACTTAGCGTTGTGTATTCGCTGCATTTGTCCAAATATTTGTACGTAGTCCAAACAGCGCAAATATGACATCCACACTTGGCATGCCAACAACACGTTTTTACGAGTTTTTGCTTATTTGTGTATGTGTCCTATTTGTGCAAATATGTCAAATAAAGTCGAATAAATCTTCCACACATGGTCTTATTTCGCTGAAAACAACAAATAAACGCCAAGTGAAGTGCCACCTTTATATTAAGAACACTTTTTAAAATCATTAATAATTATAAGGCAGCTTTGTATATCACTTTCTTTTAAACCATTATGCATTTTTTAAGTTCCTAATCAGTTGTATACATATATCAGCGTTTGAGACAATGACTATTTTTTTAATATATGTATAATGGAAAAGGTTTTTTTTATCAACCAATAATTGAATTTTGATTACATTTTCATTATCAGATGTAATTTTTTTTTAAGAAAGTGTCACATTTTTATGTATAGGAGTAATTTTGTTTCAATTTTATAGGAGTCTATCTTGTTTAATCTTATGTATGTAATTTATATTGATGAACAGTGCTATTATTCCTTGAAATCCCAAAAAAATTGTTATTTCACTTTAAATGTTATATTTCTCGTAAAGTTTCCAAATATTTGGCTGTGTATTCATTAACAAGACTGACCAAAAATTTTTATACTGTTCCTAAATATGCTTATACTCATTATAATGGTATTTTTATACCTAGGTTTTATAAAGCACGAGGCGTTTTTTAATGTTCTAACCAAAATATATTTATATAAAATAAAATAGTTTTTTATTTGTCTCACCTGAAAAGTAAACATAAACTATACTTTATGAAGATTGAAAGTAGATTTTTCTATTCCTTTTATTATGTAGTAATTATAATTTTATTATATTTTTAGTTCAGTGAATAAAGTATGATAATTAATAGTATTATTTATTTTTTATGAATTTAATTGAAAAAAATGTACATTCTATTGATAAATCAATAATATACATATCTGGGTTACTATAAAACAATGGAATACATCGATTTGTTTCAAGGTTTATTATTATTATTGTTTAGTTTTAAATACCACTAATATTAACATTCTAAAAACATAATTTCCTAAAAAACGAAGCGTTAAAAGAATATTGATTAAAAAAGAAACTGTTTCCGCCCGGGATCGAACCGGGGACCTTGTGCGTGTGAAGCACACGTGATAACCGCTACACTACGGAAACGTTGTTTGTGATGCCGAAATAGACGTATATAATATTATTTGTGTAGCACATTATTTAGTTTAAAAAAAAGATAAAAACTGACAACGCTGTCGCGTGGATGGAATCGCGACCAAGATTCCAATCACGCTTACCGTAGCGACTTGACCAAAATAATCAAAAACTCAGATCCACTACTTTCAGGTTGCCAGTCGCCAGTCACGCGGCCATCTCGCCCGCGGATAGTCGCGGTCACGACTCACGTCACCGTGACAGCTTATTGTCGGTGTTCAGTCAGGCTAAAATATTAATTTCATTGAATATAACACAATAATACAACATCATGGATCCCGAGGCATTCCTAGATTTGGCCAATCAGGTCATAAAACTCAAAATGTACCCGTATTTCGATATAGCGCATTCTTTGCTTTGCGCTTTAGCTGTCCGAGAAGATTTAGGATCTGGTAAGCAATGTCTTTTAAATTAAAACTTTAAATTCCGTATTATTTCAGGACATACGATATACATTTGCGTTATTTTAGCCGTATATCATTTATGGTTCTAAATGAAAGTTCTATAACAAGCCACCTATAGAGCTTATAAATAGATTTTTCCTTTCATTTAGACAGACCACATTCATAGGATAATATAAATAGATCAAATCCCCAAATTTTATTGAGCTGACAACTAGAGTTCATTACATTGTAATCAAAAGTATTTCATGTAAATATATTTGTAAAATTTGTTTTTATCGTCATGTGGATACATATATTTAATATTATCAGTTTAAAGATAACTCACTATGACGTGGGTAATCATGGTTGCAGCTTACCATTGCAAATATATTTTTATTTATGTCACTGTTTTTACGTACATAGTATATTCAGATTGTACTGTTTATAACGCTGAAAGCGCTATTCTATAAGAACTAAGAATTTCAGAACTGGCTTCCAGAATATTATTGTAGATGGCGCCCAGAAAAACGTAAATAGGTTATGGGAAATGAATGTTCGAAAAGCACAAATAGTTAATATTAATAAATAATGATAAATAAGCAATGTTTTGGTATATAAAATTTGCTGATAATTATAAATAAACCGCCAAAAAATATCCACTTTGGGCTCGTCCGGGATTTGAACCCGGGACCTCTCGCACCCGAAGCGAGAATCATACCCCTAGACCAACGAGCCATGTAAGGAAGAATTGAAATTATAAATAACAAATTAAACAGGAAAAAACATCGATTTAAAGTCTTAATAGCTAATAATCAGAAAATTTGCTAAAACATTCTAGTATGTATCTTGAAATCGAAAACGTGATGAAATTTAATGAAATTCATTTCTGAATAAGTTTTTTATGACTGTAAAATTAATTATGACATCATTTTAAACAAGATCGAGCGTAATAACATTTTATTATAAGTGGAAACTGTAGTTCTTTGTTCATTTATCACGACCTACCATCTTCTACCTGGTAATTTCCCGGCTATAGCCAGGGTCTGCCTTACATGTTGTGAATAGTTTTGGCTATTTGTTTTTACGACCGGCCGCCTGCCTGACATCAACCCTCTTTTGGGAAGCCTTATCACGACCTATGTTCTTTTAAAGACTCTACTATCGGTTTTATATTCCCAGGTGCTCAAGCGTTCTCTCGTAAACATCCCCTATCATGCTGGTTGTCAACCATGCTGGTGATATTCTCTGGTGGCATGGTTGCTAATGGTTTGCTAGGAGAACCTATTCTAGCACCACTGAAAAACACGCCCCAACTAGTCATTGGAACTGTGACATGGTAAGTAATTCGACGTCAGTCTTATCACAAGTTTGCAATTGAACCACATACGAAGAAATATCAGTTTTTTATTAATGAACTTAAAACGTTCAGTATACTTATATACAAAATAAAACGAGTGTTAAGTATTTCTGGGATTATTAATTATTATACCAAAAAAATACAGTATTTTTGGATACAGCACCTGTTAAAGAATTATTAATATCACTACTAATTTTTGATTGTAATTGTATACGCCCTTAGTTTCATAAAACTGTAAAGAAAACTCTTTTTGTTTCATCACATTAAAGAGCTAGAATTTCGCTGGTTTCCATTCATGCGTACTAAATAAACGTATCCATAGACTGATAATAGGCGTCTTAAATATCCGTATTACATTGTGATAAGTATGTTATTAAAACAAGGTACATTTAAAAAGAAATTATGATTAGGTTTTAAAACCAGTAGCGTAAAGCGTTAGCTTAAATCTATACACAAAAAATGTTTCATTCCTAATATTAGGTATATTAATCTATGTCTCAAAGTAATTCAATTATTGTTTACAAAAACAAATACATTTCACTTAAAATTAGAGATAAGTAAAACAATTCAAATATGTATAACAAATTTAAGGTCGCTAGTCAAATAAGTACATACATACTTACTATTTTAATGACTTATTAACACTTAATTTTTATACGAAGACTTCAAGAATGCTGTTTAATTTTATTTGTAAACTAATCGATTACAGTGCTACCTCAGGGTTGATAGTGTTAACAGGACAAAAAGTCTATTTAGGGCTCGTCCGGGATTTGAACCCGGGACCTCTCGCACCCGAAGCGAGAATCATACCCCTAGACCACCGAGCCATGTATGACATTATGTCAAGTACTTTGCAGTTTATAAATTTGGCGCCAAACAAAATGTATTTCGTAAATTTTATGATAAATACGAATAGAGTAATATTTAAGGTTTTCTCTTTTTCAGGTATATAGTATTTTACACGCCTTTCGAGATAGGTTACAAAGTGGCGAAGTTTCTTCCCGTGAAGATCGTTGCAGCAGCCATGAAAGAAATATATCGCGCCAAAAAAGTATACGACGGAGTGTCACACGCTGCTAAATTGTATCCGAACGCGTATATCATTATGATCATAGTTGGTTAGTTATAAATGATATTAATTTTTTTAAATGTTTAATAAGGGACGTAGAAAATAAACAAGGTAAAACATAACACTATTTTGATATAGCAGTCGGGTAACATGCACACGACACAAAAGTAATATAATTGATAAAAGTAATTTAATATAACTAAGACTTTCGCGAGTTTTATTTATATAAATCAATATTTTTGGATTAATACGCGTATATTTTTTTTTAAACTACATACTCCCGATTTTTGCAGCAACCATCAAAATTACTGCAACGTAATCGAAACTTCAGGAGTGTGTAGTTTTTAAAAATAATAAAATACGCGTAGTAATACGAAAAAAATTGTTTTAATTAAAAAAACTAATATGTTGTATTAATATTTTCCAGGTACTTTAAAGGGTAATGGTGCTGGATTCACTAAGTTGGTTGAGCGTCTAATCCGTGGTGCTTGGACTCCTACCGCTATGGAAACGATGCAACCCAGCTTGTGAGTTATAAAACCGCTTGGTATTTTTAATATATAATTTATACTCAGCACTTATTAATATAACACAAAGGTTATTTTAATTTAAGACATTTTTTATCCTCTCATGTTTCGCGGCCATTTTTTTTGGCGGTAATTTTTTCTTAATTTGTTTTGACGATTGACAGCAGTATAAGAATCATAGACAATAAGATCACTCTCGTTTTCGTCAGTTTTGGATTGGAAACAATTTTACGTATAGGTACTTCGTATTTTTGTGAAATTCCGTAACACTTTTAAGTCAACCGTAAAATTACTCTATTACATAATTTCGTCTTTAACAAAAATGAGTTGTCATAACGATTTTTTTTATAATTATTTCGGAGTTCAGTGAAGAAGTTTGTGCAATTAATTCTACTTCAGAATGTCGACAGTTTAACAGAATTCTTTTGCGGTTACAAGATAATAGTTAATTTTCTTTCGATAACAGTATCGCGGTTTCTAATGAACTTTAATAATAAACATAATAAATCTCAATATAATAATGATTATTAGTTTTTAAAACAGAATTTACACAATATTATCGTGAAATAATACCTCAGTTGCACCACCTCTAAGAATCAGATGTTTTATTTTAATTTATTTATAGTTTTATTTCATTAAGTTTAACGAAATAAATTTTAAAAATAATTGTTCTAGTCGTCTTGGTTAAAAAAAGTTACATTACTTTACCTATAGGGCTCAAATATTCTAAAATACGTCATGAAGTAGATTCAGCTCACACATATCTTTTCTAATATATTTATTTAAAGAAGTGGAAGGCTTGTTTTTAATTATATTGCTGGTAAATGGCAAGCCTGATGCTGTTTCTTTAGAAAACATGTCAACAGGATTCTTATCGGTTTGTTTCTGGGGAATATGAGATTCAATTTCGTTTGACCGGTCTAAAATTTATTGTGACGAAGGTAGACTAGGAATGTATTCGTCATGACAAATTACTTGTTCTATAAACTCATTTTCGACACCTGATTGACTAACTTGGCTGGATGCTTCTTCCTCCGGATCAGTAGCTAAATTTTGAGGATTTAACGGATATATCCCCGTCACTTCAAAGCCCGTGACGGCCTTCTCCATCGTAGCCACTTGAGTATAAGCTTTATTAAAAATTGATGCTAAATGGTCATGGGTAATTTTTTCAAATGGGTGCATTTTCATAAATAAGTCGCACTCGCGAGAATACACGAATTTTAATGAGCCATAAAAATTCATATGCGTCGAGCGATTGATGACTGCAATGATTATCTAGGATAAGGAGAGACGATGGCTTTCGCAATGGTTTTAGTGAGTAGGGGCCTGCCCAGGCCGAGCTTCACACATTCCTTCACCCTACCAAGGCCGGTTGGACGGCTCGTAAAAAGAGTTTCCCTGCGTCATCAAAAAAAATAAATAAATAAAAAGGTTAAGGATAAGGAGATCTGTATTTTGCTTACAAGCATCAATAGTTTTATAAAAATAATGCAACCATTTCGTGGAAAGCTCTTCATTTATACACCCACCCACATTTAGAGCATTCATAGAGTGCTCCCGGTGGGCCACAAATTTTCAATGAAAATTTTATTCTCTGTCGTGGATAAATAAACAAGGGAGAAAAATATATTCTGTTGTGTTAAATGCGCATACAACTGTGACGTTCTGGCCAGGTTCTGCACTTGTAGCCTTTCTGTCTTGCTTAAGTCCTGTTAGAGCATAAATTTTACCTGGTTTTTGTACGTTTCTGATGTCAGACTTACAAACTTTAAAGATTCGATTGGCTGGAAAATTATGCTTTGACATGAGTTTCTTCACGTTAGTGAAAAAAGGGCTATTTCGCATTTATTAAATCAGAAAACCCTACAAAGGCTTGTTGGTTCAGAAAGCCTTAAAGAAATTCCAGGATTTCTTTTTAAACAGGAATACACCCAATATTTTTCAGACATCTTTTTTTCGGACGAAAAAATATTTTTAATATTTTTCGCAACGGCAAAGTCATATGCCAATTTATGCAATTGTTGCTGGGTTATCCCATAAAACTTCTTTGCAATTACAGTTTCCAAACGATTTCTTTATTTTCTTAATTTGTTAATGTGGCCTTTCTCCCAAGTTGGGAGAAAATTATGACCTTGGGAGAAAGGCCACATTAATTTTCTCCCAACTTAATTCGATCTCTAATTGTTGATTCAGAACGTGGTATAATCCAACTGTCCTCTATTGATCTCATTTCCTCAAAAAATATTGCGTTGTTAAGTTTCTTTTTATTTTCAATCGAATAGGAAAATGTATATAAAATCTTCTCTATGTGAGAAGAGGCCTCTACTCAGCAGTGGGCTCTGATAGGCTAATGATGATGCTATATATAGTACATATGTAGAATAAAGTCCATAACTATATTGGATATTAACATAGCTACTATATTGTGAAAACTCTACAGTAAGTTTGAAATCAGAAATCCAGTTAAGTACACTCAGTCCTCGTTGGCTGTAATGCATTAATAGTATTTTATAAATAAATCTTCACACATTTTAGTCTTAAACTATTAACGGTGATTATAAAATAATAGAAGGGAGGCTCTTAAAGGGATATACGAAAAGAAAGATTTATTTTAATAGCCCTTTTAACAAGAATCGATTTTAATTAATCCTTTTTGGTAAACATTTAATTCTAACAAAGTTTTTTTAGTGTTATTTTTAATCAAACGATGTAAATGTCTCATTACCTCCCCAGCTACACCAAGGCGTCTTTAGTGGCGTCTATCATCTTCGTGTTGGATAAGAAGACCGACCTCATCTCCGCTCCACACGCCCTGGTCTACTTTGGCATTGTTATCTTCTTTGTCTATTTCAAGGTACGTTTAATATAACAATAATTGTTTATTCCGTATTCGACAAGTAAAAAAGTTGTATGTGAATGATAAAAATGGATGAAAAATTAACTTTCATGATCATTCCAATGTCTTTTTGAAATATGTTTTTAATATCTTATTAAGAAACTTCGTTTCTGGCAACATATAAATTTTTGAAGTGCATAAAAATAAAATCACTGTTTTTTTTTTAATTTAATACTACGGCTTCATCCGCATTACAATCTTGGAATATTTTGCCAAAGCAAAAAAAAAAGGAATTAATTATTTATTTACATTAAATACTATAACTTATACAGGTTATCGATTACTTTAGTAATAATCACGCATCATTAATTCCGATAAAACAATGAAAACTTTTTTTGAAAATGAACCAAGACTTATAATTTGGTATGATATCATTGGTGTTATTTTATTGCCGAGTAACTTTTACTTTAACAAATTTACAGAACTAACAAATTTAGAAAATGATTTTTAGACACGTAGTAAAAGCTGTATACATTGAATTCACTGCCTTTCGCTAGCGTTTAAAAAATACTAAGTCTGTTAAATTAGTTTTTTTATTGAAAATAACAGTGTTACCTTTTTCATATGCTCATAGGGTCTAAGAATAATTGTCATATCGCTGAAAAGGATGTCACCGACAACCTTTTAACGCAAAATGATTGAACTGACCCGTAATTAAATGACACCGGCAAAATTTTAGCCAATCATAAGCCAGTATTGTCGTAATTTAGACCAATAATATAATTTTCTTAATTCCCAGCTGTCATCCATACTACTTGGCATCCACGATCCGTTTGTTCCGTTTGAGAACCTCTTCTGTGCTCTGTTCATGGGCGGTATTTGGGACTCGCTAGCTAAGCTGTTAGGCAAAGGTCAGCCCAAGGAAGATAGCAAAGACGCCAAGAAGACTAATTAATTTTAACATGTAAGTATTTAATAGATATACTTCTCGTATAGACAAAAAAAATCTAATCTCCTTGCGTGTTTTAATTTTTTTTTTTGCTTGCAGGTCGGCAACAGTTACATTACCAACTGACACCGGCTACAGCCTGCGACTTTTAAGCACAAACAAATAAAATAAATAAAAAAAAAGTAAAACCCTAAAAGCTCAAAAAAATGGCACAACGACCAAAGTTACAATTTTTTTTTTAATTTTTAAGTATAACTAGTCATTAAGTTTTTAAGTTTGACGTTTGAGCAATTATTACTGTGTTTTTGTAATGCCCAGTGAAAAATGCTCTGAATTTATAATAATCGATATTATTTTACAATTTTTTTTATGTATGCTTATTTTTTATGTGTTACCTTCCATTTGCCAAAAATTATTAAGCAATACTAGTTAAGAATGTTGATGTATTACATTTTATTGTATTATTTTTAGTCATGCTGATGCATAATAAGGTTTTATTTCTATAGATTTTACGTAAACGTGTGTTATAGTATTCGAACGTTGTACTTAGATGTTTGTTTTTAATTTTACATCGAAACGAATGCCGAAACCGACTTCCTTTTTTTTCAAATAACAAACACAGAAAAAATATCAATTTAAATGATAATTGCAATTAATTGTGTAATTTATGAAAAATCTGGCTGAAACGCATGGGTGCTAGCGTCGAGGTACATTTTTTTCTTAAATTTAAAAAGTATGAATCTATATGACTTCCCCATATTCGGGTAATATTGTCTTCCTATCTAATTGAATTAATTGTCGATACAAAAACCGTGATAAAGGAATGAATAAATTGTTTTTATTACATACTCGTTTCATTGACATTTCACAAAATATATTTTTCTTTATTTTAAAACACAGAAAATAAATATCAATAAATATGTGAGGTTATTTTTAAACGAAATTCTTAAACACAATTACTATTATTTAATTATTATTCTTTCGCCAGCCTTACGCAGCTTTCAGTTTAATGATTAACTGGTTTTGTGGCATTTATATAAAAATAGAATTCGTTCCTTTGAATTTTAAACAATGCAACTTATAATGTAGTAAATATTTTTTTATGATATTGGCTGAATCGACAAACAATAAAAAAAAAATAACTGTCAAAGTCAAAATAGTTTTTAAAAAACGCGGTATTTTAATTGTCATTAATTAGTATATAGGGTGACTGGTGAATTACTATCAATATTTAAGGAGAATACTCGGTACATGATTCTCATTCGAATTATGTAAAAAAAATAGGCACTTAATTTTTGACAAAATTTCCATATAAATAAGTAAAGTGTTGACACGTTCCAAATGTTTAAGTGTGGACGCGTGTGGTGGCGTGCTGATACAACACCACGTCGCGACGCGCGTATGTGTGAGTGTGAGTGTATACCTAATCTGTAGGGTGTTCATACGATGCGTAATTAATTACATAACTTTTGGTTAACTTTACTTAGAAGTTTATTAATATTTATGTTATATTAATTTTTATTTTATCATATATGATCGTCAAATATCACGTCCTCAAATATCGATAGTAATTCACCAGTCACCCTGTATATGTTTATTCTTTGTAATTGCAAATAAAACTTGTTCTATCATCTAATGTGGGATACGCGGCCGACACGTTGCGGTCTTACGGTATTCTGGTGAGGTTAGCGAGGTCACTGTCAGCTCGACCAAAGATTCTGCGTCTTTCTATCACACCGAACAGTTATTTAAGCATCTTAATATTTTTATTTCACGAGTGTAATATAAATTTAATTGCACATTTATTAATCAACATAACGACTGTAATTAGAATATTAATAATAAAGAATTATAAAAATTTTAGCAATCATTAGCAAATTAAACATCGAAAAGATTAAAGCAAAAACTATGTATCAAACATTGTATTTTAAGCTCCAAAAGATAAAAAGCAAAAAGGATGTCTTATACATGATATTAAAATAAAAGTAACGTTTTTAAAGGTCGTATTGATTTATCATTTAGATATTACTTGTAGTTTATTTCACAATCTATTAAACTCGATACATCGGTGTAAATGCGATCTCATTGCAATCCAAGCGAGGCTTGTTCGCCGATGGCATTGTCAGTGTGATGCGCGCGAACACCTGACGCGCGTCGCTACGAAAAATATATATAAAATTTACACCAATCTGTTTTACAATAGTGGCAATCGGTTAATGTGTTTAGCGGTAAGTTTAACGGTTTTATGAAAGTGATTCATAACTGTGTTTCATTTTAAATATTAATTCATTGATGTTTTTTTTTGTTAATTAACTTGTAGTACACGTGTGACTTTCCTTTTCGCATATCGGATGTTCCGCGGATTGTTGAAGATCTTTTGATTATTACAATTCTGTGAGAATATTGTTTGAAGCTTACTTTTTTGTCTGATTAGAATCCAAAGAGGTTTAATTCAAAATGTCATATATTAAAGACATTTCAGTACATAAAGTATAATAAAATAAATCAAAATTAAATAACTTAGGAGACAAACATTAATTTATTTATACAACATAATAGAAATTCTTTGGAATATCTTTTGATAAAGCTCATATATTTTATCGTTTTTTTAATTTTGTTTTTTATGCTATGGCATTAAACGCAAGTTACTATGGAGGTTGATTGACCGTCCTGAAACTCGCTAATGCTGGACGTAATAGCGCCACATTAACATTCCCGGTCGAGTTGTATGTGATAAAAAATATATGTAGATACATATCTTATGTAGATAAAGTTTATACTATTCAGTTGAAATCTTCAATTTATGTACATTATTGTGATAGGAATCTAACATAGATTATGTTTTATTTGAATTTTCATTTATTTAAACATCGACTTGTCGACGGCGAAATGGATGTCTTAATCTAAATAATAATTAATTCTTAAAAGTGAAGGAATCTTATAAAAAAAGAAACCAAGTAAAACTTTATTTTAATTACGTAGAAAGTTAACATTTTGTTAGTACTTTTTGATATTGCCCGTAATTTAAACAAATGAAGGTAAAAAAGTAAATTACATTAAAAAAAGTAAATAAATCTATGATTAGAAGTATGTATTAAATATAATCAGAAACCTCTTAGAATACCTTCATAAATTATTAAAACAAATAGCTTTTATCGTATTCAGTTTCGCAAGAACGAATTCTGGGTAAACTTCAACGCTTCGGTTAGTCATAAAGCTTTTGCCGGATGTTGTACAGACATGGAACATCTGGAATATAATAAAACTTAATAAGATGTCGGAGAAAATCATTTATAATACATAATTCTAATGTTTTAAATGTACACGAACATCTGACAATCTACAATTGTTTCATAATTTATCCTTGACAACTGTCAACTCACTTTTAGTTGTCATTTACTTTAACGGCGAAGGTTTTTGCTGTTCATCCTTAAATATTTGTCATATTATTCACTCACTCTGTTGATGTAATTATATTTATTTATTGAGGATATATATTTTTATTCTTCCTCAACACGATTAAGTGAGCATGATTTCATCTTTATTAGAAGATAAAAGCTAAGTCACGTTCGGTGTTCTCATTAAACAATTAAAGAGTTTCAATGAACAAATATTGTTCTTTGAGGAAAACTACCTCGAATATAAGGTTAGCAGCCAACAGGCAAATATTGTACGTACAAATCAAACTTTGTTATGGCCCTTAGGTGAAAAACCTTGCATAAAAAACGGCCTATGATTCACAAGTCATATACCTACTTCAATACAAGGTGTATTAAAAAAAAAGTACTTGAAAATAATCCGTCATTAGTAAATTTGGATTTCAAAGTAATAACTAATAAGTTATAATCATTAATTTAATGATAATTAATATTTTATCATTAAAATTATTAACAAAAAAACTACGGTGCCATATCTTAAATAAGTACAAGGAAAATTAAGTGTAGTAGATATCTAAGTACTTTATGAAGATAAGTCGTACGTACGTGGTAAAAAACTTCCTCTTCCCCAAGCAGTCCTCAAAATAATAAAAACATGTTCCTAAAAAAGAATTCAAGTTGCCCTGGAATAAATATAATTTAATTGCTTATTGTTTAACTGACAATGCAATACCATTTACAATTCGCGTAACATACCATAGGAATAATATAGTGCGAATTATCACATACGTCATCTTCTTCTACCTGGCAATATCCCAGCTTTTAGCCAGGGTCTGCCTTACATGTTTTTAATAGTTTTGGCTAAATGTTTTTACGACCGCCCGACTGCCTGACATCAACCCTCTTTGGGAATGCATTAATCAGTGATGTCTAAATACTCTTAGAAAGTATATATGACTCAAAAAAATCACATTGGTACTTGCCAGGATCGAACTCGCGCCCTCATGAGTGGCGGGCCCTTTAACCACTAAGCCACCACTGACTGACATATACCTATTGTTTTAAAGCATGTTATTTTTTAATGTCTTAAAAGTAAGACATAATATATCATTAATTGTCGTGTGATCATTAATTTCCTCGTTGTTAAGATAGGTATGAACAAATGGGTTTGTTTTTTAGGATAATATAACAAAAATGCCACGCTTCAAGACGATTATGGTGACAGGAGGTGCTGGTTATATTGGGAGTCATTGTGTGGTAGATTTACTTGAGGCAGGTTATGAGGTCGTTGCTATAGACAATTTCGCTAACGCCGTCGGTGACGAAGAAGGTTCTCCAGCATTACAAAGAGCTGAACAAATAACTGGCAAGCAGATCACCTTCTACAAAGCCGACCTGTTAGATAAACAGCAAATAAACAATATATTTGATAAGGTTAATAATTTTTTTGATTAATTAATCCGATATCACTGATGGTATCTTTTCTATGAATTTTTCTTTCGAACGTCAATATTAATCATAATTATATTTCAGCATCTAGTAGATTGTGTTATCCACTTTGCTGCCCTAAAGGCGGTTGGCGAATCAATGCAACAGCCCTTACTCTACTATCAGAACAATCTCTTAGGAATGCTCAATTTATTAGAGGTAATTACAAAAACTAATATAATAATAATTCAATAATAAAACAGAACATAAAATTTCATCATTAAAGTTACGGAATTCTACAATCTAAAGTATGGTTCACACAATATACATATATCTTTATATATATAATTCTTCTGTGAGTGTGTATGTCACTGAACTTCTCTCAAACGACTGGACCGATTTTGATGAAATTTTTTGTGTGTGTTCAAAGGGTCTGGGAATGGTTTAGATTCACAATTTTGTCCGCTGGACAAAGTTTTTTAATTAATTTTGACTTTATCAGTAGTTGTTGATACAAACGGTTTTTTTGACATTAGATTTGACAACTAACTAATATGTCAATCATTCTGTCGCACTTCAAAACAAGGAGATTTATGGCTTTAATAGGTAAACTCCAAAAATATAAATTAAAAAACGTAACAGATATTTCTTGATTATAGGGCGATACGAAGTTCGGCGGGTCTTCTAGTGTATATATATAATGATAAATATATTTTTAACACAGGTTATGCGTTCCCATAATTGCTATCAAATGGTGTTTTCATCATCATGCACTGTATACGGTGAGCCGGAACAGCTCCCTATAACGGAAACACATCACACTGGCAACATTACCAACGTGTACGGCCGGACTAAATACTTCATAGAGGAAATGCTTAAAGACCTCAGTGCGGCCGATGAGGTAAATATAAAAATGCCTTTACAATGATAATATTTTTAATGAATCATACTTTAGATTTAATAAATATATATCCGGGTTTTATCAATAAAATTGTATGATTGTACTCAAGTTATTCTTCCGAGATTTTAAAATATTCACTTTGGATATAAAGTTGAATGTAAGTAGAGAGAATTTGGATGATGCTATTTCTTATATTTATAAAGGTTTGTGGAAATTATTCAATTATTACTAAATATCAAAAAATTGAGATTGAAAACGATCAAAAGAAATAATCTATTATTGAATTTTGCGCCTACTTCTCAATATCGCTGAAAGTTCTTTTATCAGAATTATAATGTATAATTAAATTACCATCAAATTGGAAATAAAACTTGAATGTTTAAAAAAAATATGCTTGTTGTCCCTGCGCGCGGAAAACATGAAATTTAGTAATGTAGAAATGAAAATAGGAAAGAGTAGAAAACAATTTTAGTGAACTCATATTGTTTCTTTAAGTTAACTAACTCTCTCTGCCCCTTTCTAGTCCCCCTTCCCAAAAGTCTAACGCAACCTTGTTGGGAGTCGCGTTAAAAGTTTCAATTCAATATATTTTTAATATTACATCAATTGATTTACATTCAATGGTTATTTTTCACGGTAACGCTTCAAAATCAATAACATTCAAATAATTTTTGTATTACGTAACCGTCAAAAATTTTAATTAGCGTTTGACGCAAGAGATGACAACAAAACCTTTACAAATGAATGACAGAGCTTTTATTCAACTTTGAACATTTTAACGAGCCATGGTTCATTTCATTAATTATAAATTTTTCTCAGTAGCAATAATTTATTTTGTTTGTTAATAATTAAAGTATATTTTTCGATGCATTCCTAGAAGTTTGAATTGTTCTTTTATATATTATAGGAATTTATGAGCTATATACAAAAAATATCGAAGTGAGCAATTTGAATTATATATAAAACTTTACTAAAACAGAATTCTTTATAAATGAACTCCATTTATTGAATATATTGAATAATTTAAAATTTCAATTTATTTTATAAACTTTCATATTTGTACGTAATAAATAATAATACATAGTTTTAATATTACTCATACAAAATCGCAATCACTAGTAAACATGCATCTGACATTTGTTCAAACTTCAATACATACAGAAACAGTTACTTGAAAGCTTTTTATAATAATATTGTACTATAATTAACAAATTATTGAATATAATGACCCTATCACGGTCAAGCTTAGTGATGAAATTAGAATTTTGAAGATCTTTAAAAACCAGTTATCGTATGCCAAATATGTAATAAGTTCAAGGACACCATTCTCTTCCGTAATGACGTTTTACAAATTAATTATGATTTCTATTTACTTTTTTTTATTTTGAAGTTTAATGATAAATTATATTTTTCTAATTAAGTATATTAATTTATTCAGAACTGTTGCCATTGGCGTGTTGGAGTCAAGTTTATTAAGCAATTCAGCGAAAACTTTTAGATAGATAATATGTATTTAATTCTTTGTGTTACTATCGAAACCAATCTAGATAATTGTTTCTCTTATTTAAAAAAATATTTTGCGTGGACGCCGGAGTCCCTACGCGCAAGAAGTGCAACTTCGTAATGTTGGAATGATAACAGGAAGGGGTGGAAATTGATTTTTAAAGAATCTTTAGTGTACCTTTAAGAAAAACTTTATTAATATTATTCACAACTCACAATTGATTCCTCTCTCGCTCTGTCTCTTTTTATCAATCCCCCCAACCGTTAATTTAACGTTTAACGCAACCTTGTCGGAAGTCGCATACGAAGTATCGCTTCAAATAACGCGAGACGGTGATATCAGGCAGTTAAGATATTGTATGAGGAGAAATCTTAAGGAAAATTTATGATGGATATATAACCTACCCTTATCAAAAGGTTTTAAAAAGAATAAATTAGTAATTAAATACATAATAAAATAATAACTGTCATTACATATTTGAACTACACAAGTTTTTTGTCATATATCTAGTTTTTCCGTTAAACTTAAAAACTCAAAAAAATTCGAGACAGCAAGAAAAGTGAGATTTTAATTTATTATCAGTGTGAGTCCTGTTTGACGTCTTAGCTAATATTTTTGGATTTTTTTGGACCATTTCACGGTTCTTATTATGATTATAATCATTAAGATCTTGGAAGAACTATAATATGATAAACAAATCCGATTAATTTCTGAGAACTTACTGATAATAAAAAAGAAAGTACTTAATATGCGAAAAATATTCTTTATTTAGATTTCTAACATTTTCAAGTAGTTGTACATATTGGTAAATTAATAAATACATATAATACATATGTAGTAAAATAACATGTGTACACAAAAACCGCTCGTCTTTAATTTGAATTAAAATAAATACACACTAACAAAATGCCATTAAATAGTTTCATTGAAAAGATAGTAATTTAATGAATTCAAGGTAATCACGGTAACAGTAGAATTTATTGATTTATATTATGAAAAATAAAAATATTGTCTTACGGTACCAACTTAGGGAGCGTTCAAGTATTACGTAACGCAATTTTGGGGGGGGGGGTCTCGTAAAACGTTACGATGCGTTACTGGGGCGGGAGGGGGTGTCTCTTACAAAACGTTACGTAGCATTGTTTCTAAAAAAATATATTAATAAAAACCCCCAAACTGGCAACTCTTTTCATTTACATTACATTGTTGACCAGATTGTATTAGTCTGGTCGATATTTTTATTTGTTATTCCAATTTTGCAAACCTCTTAATTGATATTTTACGGGGAATACATAGATTGCATTGTAAGTCTTTTAATAAAATTGATCACTTGAGTGTTACGTAACGTTTTGAGGGGGGGGGGGGGGCTACAGAAAAACGTTACTGTGCGTTACGACGGGGGAAGGGGGGGTCAAAAATCTTCGAAAATTGCGTTACGTAATACTTGAACGCTCCCTTAACCAGTTATGACTATTTTTCGATATTGCCATTAATATGGAGCACTTTAAAATTCCATTCCGTTATATTTTAGTACGTTTAAGTGTCAAGTTATTTTTTAAATGTCAAGTTATTTATTTATTGTTTAAGTGTTTTTTTTTCAGAAATGGAACATAATCTCTCTAAGGTATTTCAATCCCGTGGGCGCTCATCCTTCCGGTCTCATCGGTGAAGATCCTACCAAAGAGTTCACTAATCTAATGCCTTTCATGGCGCAAGTGGCACTTGGAAAGAAACCTGTGCTCACTATTTTTGGAAATGATTACAATACACCGGACGGAACTGGTGGGTGTTATTTGGTTATTTTATAAACTAAATAGTTATATGTATAATGAAATTTAAAATAAAAATCTTGTATAAGAGTATTTAAAAGCTTTATTTTGCTTTTTTAAAATTTGCAATGCAAAACTATCCAGGCGAACTCTATTCCTCCTTAAAGGCAGTAAATAAGAAGATTTTGGTTTTTTTTTTTTAATTTGATCAAGTTAAGTATTATGTTTTCTTTTTATGAAGTGAAAGTATCCTATGCCCTTTTCCTTGTTCTAAGTTATCTCTTCACCAATTTTCAGCATAACGCGTCAAGCTGTTCTTGAGATATGAATAGTGTAACTAACACGACTTTCTTTTATATATAAAGATTTATAAATGCTAAATACTTTTTTATCACCAGGTATTCGTGATTACATCCACGTTATGGATTTAGCAGGAGGCCATGTGGCCGCTCTCAATTTGTTAAGTGAAAATCACGTTCGACTTAAGGTAATGAAAATTAGCACTAACATCATAAATTCTTGATGAATTGGTAGTAAAAAGGTTTCATTTCAACAGGTATTTAATCTTGGCACTGGTAAGGGAGTGTCAGTTAAAGAGCTGGTGAATGTATTCGAACGTGTTACCGGAACGAACATTCCAGTAAAATATGTATCGAGAAGGCTTGGAGATATAACGGCTATGTGGGCGGACGCCACGCTCGCTAAAAACGAACTAGGATGGACTACCAAGCGTACCGTTGAAGAGATGTGTAAGTTTATACTTTGACATTGACAGATCAATTTTTCTCATTGTTTATGTTAGACTAGTATCCGATCGTCAAATGTCAGTTCAGAATATAAATCACATTGTAAACTGTTTGGCTATTCAGAGGCATTTTTTGTATAGAATTTATAAAAATTAATAATATAGCTCATTTTGAATTTGATCATGCAACTTCTAAATAATAATTTTATTGTAAACAAAATATCATATAGTGAAATTTTTCGATAATTAAAACCAATTAACAAACTGAATCCAAATGATTTCATATAATTGCTCATAAAAAAAAATCTAAAGTATTTTAAAGTTTTATTTACCCATATATTATTATACAGGGCGACTGGTGAATTACTATCAATATTTAAGGAGCATACTCGGTACATGATTCTCATTCGAATTATGTAAAAAAAAATAGGTACTTAATTTTTGACCAAATTTCCGTATAAATAAATAAAGTGTGGACACGTTCCAAGTGTTCCAAGTGTGGAGGCGTGCGGCGGCGTGCTGATACAACACCACGCCGCCGCACGCGCGCGTGTGTGTGTGTGTGTGTGTGTATACCTAATCTGTAAGGTGTTCACACGATGCGTAATTAATTACATAACTTTTGGTTAACTTTACTTAGAAGTTTATTAATATTTATGTTATATTAATTTTTATTTTGTCATATATGATCGTCAAATATCACGTCCTCAAATATCGATAGTAATTCACCAGTCACCCTGTATATTTACCCATACATTATATTTATAATAGGCTTTTTTCCCGCGTTTTTATTAACATGTAATACCTATTAATCAATGAAGTTAAAAACTATGTGTTTAAAATTATAGGTACAGATTTTTGGAGATGGCAAACCATGAATCCCGATGGCTATCCTAAGAAGAATAAAACAACCGTCATTGTAGTTAATGGAAAAAGTTAATTTTATATAATCAACCTCTTTACACATAGCAATGTATTTAATAAATAAGTATTCTATTTAATTATTTTGTTTTTTGTTTCTCTATGCTTATTACCCTTTGTAAAAAAATATGATTTTCTAAAAAACTATTACAGATTTTAAGAACATTTAGGTACACATTTTCCTAGAAGAAAATTGAATAGGTATGTCATGTTTCTTCATATAATGATATATGCTGCCACTTCAAAGGCTCAAAACCAATACTAGTAGTGTTGGGCAGAAGGTATCTTGCAAACAACTCCAAAAACCTCAGTTCATTGGTTTTGATAAATTTTGTTAATAATTCTGAAAATTGATAAATTTATTTGGTATAATCTATGAAAATGGAAAAAATAAACATAACAAAATAAGTTTCATACCTTGTAGAGGTGGTTTATGTGAATGTAAAGCACTTGGGATACTGGCCACTAAAACATCATCAGGCAATTCAATATTACCAACTTTACCTATAATTATTCTTTCATAAGGTTGTTTTTTACAACCTGAACCAAATTGGCAAAGAGGTTTCATATCTATTATTAATTTTAGCCAGTACCATGTAGCTGTATACTCAACTCCCCACTGAGGAAAAATGATATCTTTAACGGCAGATATATTACTGGGTGCATTAGTACACCACACAGCAACCAAACAGTTCTTGGACATGAGCTCTTTAACTGGAATATCTGCTATATCTTCATTGTACATCATTGAATAGCTGGAAAGTAAACAAGTACTTAATTAAAAGTATACTAAGCAAAACTCAATTATAATAATATTATTACAGTACAGTAAATTTATTTGATTCTTTTTTTTATTTAAGTGTATCTGTTAGTACTGTAAATTTAGACAGCACTCATAGAATGATAGGTAGTTTACTTCACAATATGTAAGGTTTGGAAAATTATGTTCTTAATTATATTGAAAAAATCTCAATATAACAGAATTTTATTTATGGAAATTTCATACTGCAGTTCCAGATCCACATTAACATCTATTTATACTATCATATATGTGAACTATTAAATGAGACTCTGGAAAAGCTATGTATTTTATTTGCAAACATTTTGTAAGTAATAATAACTTAATATGGTCAGTTAAACTTATAATTAATCCGGTGACAATGTGAATTACAAAAAAGGCTCAATTACCTTAGCTTTTCATTAGCTCCCTTCAATCTTCGTATATATTTATTCCACCATGGAGGGTCAGCAACAATAATGTCATATTTATTACCATCAAGCTTTCTACATTGTTCACTTACATCTCCACAAAAGAATCTGAAAATATATACATTAAGATAAATCTAAAGCACCTTTAAATTCATATAAATACTCTACTTATAAGAAAAGAATCATTTAAATGAGAAAAATATATTTTTATTTAATCACTATACCTACTCTGTTCAGGTATAAGAAAATATTGATCTTTAATTTTGCATTTGAGAGGTTTATCGGAGTTGTTACCACCGCTGACTCCAACATGATCAAATATAGTTGATTCAAAGTAAACTTGTGACAGATTTCTTACTGAAGAAGTGTTGCTTACATTATACTTATCATAAGTATTCTTTATAATATCTGGTTGTAACTTACTAAGGAGCTTATTATACATTTCTTTTACTTTGTTTGCCTGAAACAGATAAATAGATTGTGAGGACAGAATAATGATGCACTAAAAGTTGGGATCATCTCTCCTTCTTGTTGTAGATATGTATATAAAGAACACATTATTCTATAGAAGTTCCAAACATATAAAAATTTCATCAAACACAAACAGTAGTTTTGTATACAAATCTAAAGACTAAAACTTTGAATGCCTATGTGATTAGTTATCTATTTTTAACTGTAATAAATAAAGAATTTGACTTGGATCTAAAAATTAATTATACTTTTACAGAAGATAAACTAGGTATATGGGTAGAGAAAAATATTAATTTTAAGACAATGATCTGAGTATTATGAATTATACTTTCGTTAAAAAAATTATGTTTTCACATGTTTACATAAACTTACATCGTCAATGATTTCTGTACTTATTCGAGGTCTTTTCTTTGAAACTACTTCATTGCTGTTACCACTTTTTATACAAAACAATTTGTTAGTAAGACTAAGATTTTTGGTTTCGTTTGAGTCAAATGAAACGTTTTTGTATATGTTGGAAATAAAATCTCTGTGATCAATAAAATATACATTATCGTCACATAATATCACACTCATGATTAATATTTACAAATAAGAATGTCAGTCTGAACTCGTCCAAAAGTTTGAATGTGACTAACGATTTTATAACATAGAAAATCAATAACAACTATATCTAAAATCCAAATCAGCTACTAGTTACTTCACTACTAACGACGATATTATTATTTAATTATAAAATATCACCAATTAAGTACCCACAATCATCGAGATAGCATTGAATGGTAATCGGATATAAATAAATATTTAAAATAACTTTATTTATTATTATTAATTGTTATTTTGGAATAACGATATTATCAAAGATAAACGGTCATTGGTTTTAGGCTTCTTTGTATTTAATAATTATTGAACCCACAATATCCATTTGCGTTATCTGGAATGGCTGCAACAGCTGTCAATTGTAATGTCAAATCATTATTTACATTTTTTGGTGTCAAAGGAGAAGGCCGTAACGTACTGGGGTTATTGTTCTTTAAGTTTATATTAACTCCGGCATTCAGATTTAAATATTATGTTCACATACTGGAAACAGATTACCCGTAATTGGAAATAAATAGAGTGTGTAATAATTGATGAGCATTTATTCATCAAATATATATTTATAATTAAAATAATATTGCGAATATAAAGAAGATTCTTAAACTCGTTTACAATACCTTGGATCCTTGATACAAGTTGTAATGGCTGTAAAGATATGTGAGTAATTTCATTATTAACATACTTAAAATTGTAGTGTACTTTGTATATTAATAGATTTTCCTTAAAAACATTGCAAGTTTATTTTGCTCTGTCTTCCAAGACCTTGTATTCTGGCTGATAGCAACAATAGTATTTTGTATGCCAAGGTAAAAGTTCGCTAATTTGTAATGTTATACTAAACAATTAATATTTAAACGAATACATATATAAGATTTATTTTTTATTCATATAAGAAAATTTGATTAATTTTTATTTTTAAAACTATCAAAACATTTATAAAATTTCTTTGTGTAAATTCATTAAAACTCTTTGTTGTAACATCATCTTAAATTTAAACCCATTCTCATTATTATTGGAGCATAAAAACAAATTTAGTTGATATTGTATGACCAATAACTTTCTTTACCATTTAATATTTTTATATGATATTTTTAAATCTTATAGTAAGAAAAAAGTCAATTCTTGGAAGAAGTTTAGTCTAAGAATTAATAAAACTGATTAATGAGTAAATATTAGTAATATTTAATTCATTTTAAATTATTCAATTTTAAAACTTTAATGTCGAGATTAAACTTGTTATATTGACACCGGAGCACATATAAAGCTGTATTTATTGAATCCTTGACCTGCATGTTATAATTAAAAACTAAATAATACTAATAGCATTTAATTTTTTAAACTATTTACATAATTAGAGGGAAACATGTTTGCATACGCTTCTAACTATATTTCTTGTGTATAATATTTTCTTTGCATGTTACATTGTACATATTGGGTGTAAGGTTTTTCAATTTCTAAAAGGAGTTTCACTTAAAAATATAGGAAGGAATAGGTTGCATATTTTTTTCTATTCGTTATTGACACTACAGTGACACAGAATGTGTTGAAGATGTAGCTATTATTATCATATAAAATAAATAAATCTGTCTAATTGTTTGTCAATATGTCATGTCAGGTCATGTTATCAAAATAAATAATTAGATAAATAAATAAAAATATTTTATAAGCGTAATTTTCAAAAATTCCAGTGTGGATGAAGCCTTAGCATTAAAAAATAAGCTTATTAAATAATGTTATAATATATATATTTTTTATGATATAAAAAAAAGACCGTAAAATTTTCGCGATTACTTCGATTTATTCATTATTCGTTTTGCTCGAATCTTAATTTCTTTTAAACAAAATAATGTCCGTACTAAATTACGTAAAATACAGATCTTACATATTGTATAGAGATACAAGCGTAGCAATCCCATTGACGGGGTATCATAAAAGTTTTATGAAGTTGAGATCGCTACGAATATTGATCAAGGGTTGTATAGCGAGTGTGCGCACCCCTCCACCCCTCGATCCCTTCACCCCTCGTCGCTACACGGCCTTTGACAGTGGGGCGGTGCGGTAATACGCTCATGTGGCCACAAACGAGACCCGTTCGGAACTAAACTATTATAAACAGTAATGTCCTATTCGCTGGCTGCAATCGTTATCTTATAGAGTACTATGTCGTATTACACAGATACGAATTAATACGTCGCGCCACAACTCCTATGTTCTCGCCACGGAGATGGCACCGCGAAAATCAATAACACTACCAGCGGTGTATTGCATCTGATTTGTGACCCACACTGTACAGATGCGGTCGAGTACGTGTTGTGATCATAATTAACGTTCCAGTGTTATCAGAGGTTCGCTAAGCCGTGATCCCGATGTTCAATCACAAGCTACCGACTGACTTTCCAATGCAAACCCTCCGTAAGAAAACCAGCCCTTGCAAATGTGAGTTACAATAGTGAGACGCTATTGGTCTGATTCATGTTCGGTGTTTTAGTTAGTAATGTATGCGATCCGGTTAAGGCACCCTCGCTTGAGCTGTAATGAGTTGTTTTTTGGTTATAACATGCACGGTCCGGCCTTGATCACTAACTGTCACCCGCTACCAGCTGTGAGCTAGTCCCATGTCATAATTAGTGAACCCTGGTTTTGAACAGAGGGTGTTTTGGTCCGAGCCGTTGGAGCAGGTCCCGGCGGGAGTAACTAACTTTTGAGGGTTTGTTGGGAATAATGCAGGTGTGTCATTTCCAGCACCTTCTGCGACACTTCGGTGAGTAGTTCCTTATAGCCTCTCACGATCCACACTACTTGGGTAGATCAGCCACGCCAATCCTTTTTGCTCTAGACGTTTCTTTTTCTCAATATTTATATATGTATATATTTTCTGTACTACTCAGGTGTGGTAAGTTTGTTGTAAGATTATATGAATGACGTCTTAATGCCATCTTATTGTGTGCTTATTTATATTTTATTTCAGCCTCTTGTACCCTTACCACGAGTTTTGCGTGTACAGACTAACTACGAAGCGTTTTCAGTTTCATTTATAAATCCTCGCTCATTGATGGATAAACGCAGGTTTGTGGATTGAAAACTCGAAACGCTAATTACGTAGTGTGTCGATGAATCTCGTGGTAAGCGTGCAGGAGTGACGTGTAAATCTGTATGATGTGTATAATATAGAATAATGGAATCAAACTTCCCTTTCACTGGTAAAAGTATACTCATCTGAGTTATTCTATTTATCAGAAAATCTATTTTCATTCTCCTTATCAGAACTCAAACGTAACGTCGACATTATCAAAAATTTATTTGTAACATCAACACTTTAATAAAAACATTATAAATAGAAGAGGAACTGGTATCAAATCTTATGTACATAGTAACAACACTAGAGATTAACAACAAATAATAAAATATTTGGAACTTGGCTCTTCTATTATCTTAATAAAATCGGTACGCAAACAATTACGTCCTGTTAAATTGAATATATTTTAATGTTTGCCAAGATAACTTTATATGTCTCGATGTGAAGAAATAAATTTTACTCATACTCTAAAAGAATTTTTCTTTAAAATTTATCCGAATATACAAAACAGTGACGAGCGGAATTTTTACAAATTATGTTTTTTATTTGAATATAATACTGTTTCAGCGAATACAAAAAAAGAATTAAAATCTAAATATAATACATAAATACCATTAAAATATTATGTTACAACTTTGATTACTCTATTAGATACGGATACAATAGACTGATGTATCGATAATTACATTTATAAAAACATAATCCTGGCGGAAGAAAATTACTAAAAGGAGGTTGATATACGTTTAATTAAATAATGGCTGTTAAACGATACCCTATGCTTACGAAACCCTTTAAATACGCCAGCTCTATCCCACTGTAACTTGAACGGGAGTGAATTAATTGATACACATATATATAATGGATAATATAACAAATCTTTTCAAGTATCAACTAATAGCATATAGTTTAGATTAAATGAAACGCTTCCCAAGGAGATTCTTAATTTAAAAACAGGAAATTTAATTAAATAGTAACTGATGCAATGTAAGCAGGGACCAAATAGGTCGCGATGTGCTCACTTTTATTTCAATTAATAAAATTGTCATTTCGGTTAGCTAATGTTAAATATTTTTGTTTTGTTAATATGGTAAATGACTTGGCCGAATTCTTAATGCATTATTATGGATACAAAATATTTTTGTTTGTTATTTAGTACCGCTGATTGTTAGTGGTGGAATTATTGCACTTTAACAGAAAACCTTTTTACATTCTTGTACATTTTTTCTAATTTCCATGGTGTTTTCTGTGAGACCAATATACTAAATTTATTAAAAGTAATGGTGGGAATGTTTTTTTGACGGATTGTAAATACGAAGCTATGTTACAAAACTATTGGCATTGTACTAAAAATCGTAAACTTTAACGTGATTTCGGTGCCAACATGGGGATATTTATACGCTGAGTTTGCCAGAAAATAATTAACTTATAATCTGGATTATGGACGATCATACAAAACAAAATAACTTACGCATAAACTACTACATACAACATAACATACTTTAAATTTTATTGTGAATTGGTTGAGGTTTTCTGTACATACTATTATCTCAAATTGTCTTTAATAAACCCGTCACTTAACTAAATTATTTTTATACATGTAGATTTGCTACGTAATCGTTTAATATCGATTTTTTTGTTTTTGGTTTCTTAAAGCTCGATACATATGTGTTTGAGAACATGCTAACCCATTCTATAGTCATATATGAACCTCTCGCAGATAAGAACGAGCCGGGTCGATTTCTGGGTGAGGGGGTATCTTTTCGGGCAAAATTGATCGGAGTTCTCGAGGTACCGGAGGCGAGGGGGGACAGGATGTGCCAGGAGGCGCTGGCTGACCTCAAGATGGCCATCAGGGCCGCTGGGGAGCACAAGCAGAGGATACAAGTACACGTCGCCATAGACGGGCTGAGGCTACGTGATGATAAGACTGGAGTAAGTTCGTTTAATACAATCCATTGTATATCCAATTTTTGGAAGTTTCATTAACTAATTTAACCTATTATTGTCTGTCTCGCTAGGTTTAAATCCATTTAATCTTTCAGCAGCTCAACATGACCTGGTCTTTTCTTTTTTGGATGTTTCCACAAATTCCCTAACTCCCAAATCTAATTACGAGACACTATTAGAGTCTAGTACGTGTGAATTTATAAGGAAGTAACTTCTGGCCTGTAAATATTTTAATCTTGCACTGAGCTATGAAACATGTCTGGACTATACATATACAAGTTACATAGCAATTATAGCTTATTGTTCCAAAAGCAATAGGTATTACGTATTTTAATAGCAATGTTTCATGTTCTTATGATATAGTTAATACATTTTGTAACTCTATCCCTCTGATATAATACCACTCGAAGCAGCGATGCATTCATTATGGTAATAAATTTAATGTGAAATCAATATTTGTATATGGGATTAAATCCATGCAAGTAATGCTTTTAATTATTGGACGTAGTTTCATCGTTTGTTATGACTTTAAGGAAGGTCATTTGTTTATTACTATTTGGTACCATTTCTGCCTATTCTGAACTAAATGGTTAAATTAACTCAGTCTATATCCTAATCATTGTCTGGGTACATTAATTTTATGATAAAACAATGCAACGTGGAATGGTCTTTCATGATTAGCAACGCCTAGTTATTAGAGGTGCGGCAAAAATCACACTTATAGTGTTGTTAAAGTAATCAATACAATAATGACGACATAATACTGTTTTTTCAATAATTCTCATTGTATAAATTAAAAATTATCAATTTTTTGTCTCATGGCATAGGACATTTAAAGGATTAATGAACCGCAATGAAAAAGATTTATGGTCAGTTTAAAATTATTGTATAAATATTGTCTTTCGAACAAAAACTCTTCCAGGATTCCCTGTATCATCACCCAGTCCACAAAATATCCTTCATAGCTCAAGATATGACAGACTCAAGGGCCTTCGGATATATCTTCGGATCGCCAGACACCGGGCACAGATTCTTCGGCATCAAGACTGATAAAGCAGCTAGTCAAGTATGAATTATTATTATCAGTCCAAAAAAAATTCTCCTTAATTTAGTCTTTCATGCCTTATTCCTTTATTATTATCTATTTTTTCTTTCTGCACGTTAAGAAGGTTTAATTAAACTGGTTTTCTTTAACAATAGATAATTTTATAAATAGTCTAACTGCCTACTAACGTAAGTAAAAATAAAGTCATTGACATTTAACGCTGTACACCAGTAAAAGCCTACAAAACAATAAGCCATGAAAACACAAGCTCGTATTTCTTATATATCTCAATTAGAATTAATTAATTGTCGTCATATTAAGAGGTCGTTGTTTTTACAATGTCATTTCAGTTTGTTTAACAAAGTGTGAAACGGAATGACATTGTAACAAGACAGGTCCATAAATAGAAGGGATATGCCCAATTGTGAGGATAATCTCAATTATAACGGACATATTTATGATCAGGAATAATCTTACTAGCCTATTATATTGTAAATGCGAAAGTTACACGGGATGTATGTATGTTTTTGTGGCTCTTTTAATTTAGACTAGTTTTCGTAAGCGACTTTGCTTGCGTTAGTTTCAGAATTAAAAATGTATAGCTGATCGGTCAAATTCTATTTTTCCTTAAAGACAGTAGATAAGATAACTTGGTTTTGAGCAAAAATTTTTTTCTCAATCGGATGAAAGTATCCTGGTGTCCTTTCCCATTTTCTAAGCGGTCTCTCCAATTTTCAGCCAAAACCGTGCAGCCGTTCTTGAGTTAGAAATAGTGTTATTAACACGACTTTCTTTTATATAAAAGATATACTGATTTTGATGAAACTTCCTAATAATATAGGCATCTGAATAACATATATAGTATAATTTGTCCCTTCACTCTGTGTTATTTGCGGGGAATAACATTATAACAGTTGTATGTAACATGAAGTTATTATATTGAGTAAAAATTTTCATTTTTTTGTGCATACAATGAACATAAAGAAGCGGAAGAAGTCGCATACAAAACTAGTAAAGAATACATGACAAAAGTGTATAAAGAGGATTATAATTATATTTTAATGTTATTTCAGGTAGTTATAGCGATGAGGGATCTATTTCAAGTGGTTTTCGAATTGAAGAAGAAGGAAGTGGAAATGGCGAAGCAACAGCTTGAAGGGAAGACAGTCAGCAGTCTAGCCAGACATGCCGCTGTCACTACTACAGATAATAAAGCAAAGGTAACCACCACCATGACAGATAATGAAAATAACAAGAAACCTAGTTTCATAGACATTTTTTCATGGCTTATATGACAAATATATCAGTCGTTTTCTCGATAAAGGAATTAAAAATATTCTCAAAGACGTGTAAACTGCAGAACGTACTGAAATAATTAAACATATATTATATGTACGTAGTGTCAAGAACTTAAATGATTAAAAATTTATAATAACTGGGATCCCGAAATACTTTATCTACGCATAGAAGGCCTACACCTAAGAGTTTGATAATTCAAAATATTTACTCTTCAAACGTTACTTGTTTTATTTAGCGCATAGCCACGGCTTTACTTTCAACGAATTAGCGTCACGAACAATACAATTGAAGAATTCAATCAGCACGACCAAAACAAACAACATACCACACGGTATCGCTCAATGTCAGTCAAAGTAAGATGAGAGACAGGCTACAAATACAACGCTTGAGATGTTTCTGTAAACACAAATACGTGAAATTTGAGAATATATTCGATGAAAACGAATTTAAATCAAGTAATTATGTAGGTTCAGTCATACGGTTTTGATTTAAACTATCGGTTGTTTGTTATTTTTTTTCCCGTCCAAGTAGTTTATTTGATAAGTATTGGTTAAAAAATCTTTTTCATATTCAGAGTATTCCATCCGGGGACAGCGCTAAAACCGAGGGTCCAGAAGGTGGAGTAGCTGAGCTTGTAGACTTGGAGCAAGAACTATGTTCATTAAGACGAGGTCTCACTCAAGTTGAAGGACTTACACCTAGTACGGATCCTTTCGGCGACTCGTTTATTGTACCAGCCCAAGTAAGCTTCACATTATTTATATGTAGTTACATACATATATGGGAATTCCTAGGGCCTAGTGGTTAAAGGGCCCGCCTCTCGTTGCCGAGGGCGCGGGTTCGATCCTGGCCCGGGCAAGCACCAATGTGATTTTTCCGAGTCATATGTACTTTCTAAGACTATTTAGACATCACTGATTAATGTTGATTCCCAAAAGAAGGTTGATGGATGGCAGGCGGCGGGTCGTAAAAACAAATAGTCAAAACTATTCACAACATGTAAGGCAGACCCTGGCTATAGCTGGGAAATTGTCAGGTAGAAGAAGACATATATGGGAATTCATGGTATCTTAATCTTTATCTCCAGAAAGGCTTACTGCCTCCTCCTCCGAGAGGCCGTGCTCCACCTCGAGCACCTTTCTCTCCTAGTAAGCCGAGCTTCGATCTGACTTCCGACATCGAACCCAAGATAGACTTGCCTGATATGGAAATACCAGAACTACCTGATCTGAGAGAGCCTAAAACCACCATGGTATGTAATAATAAAATACCATATAAAAAACCCTGATGAAATTTTTCTGTCTGAGACTTAGATGCGAGTTTAAGTACGGATTTAACACTATGTTTGTTGACGCGAAGGTATTTACACGATATAAAGGTAAATTTAATTTACAGTTTTGCGTTTATCATCAGCTATATAATGATTCATATCTCTCACTCATTCCTATAACACTAGATAGACGCATTAACATTTAATAGGTGACGGTCATAGTCGCGCTAGTAAGCTTTAACACACTCATTGAAGCGCTATATTAGAGTATATTTATAGCTCGGAACCTAACAGTTTTTAAACCTAACCTAACTTCAGTAGATGATTTGCGTAGTATAGGTCCGGTGTTACGTGATGGTATGGTGTGTGTAGTGGTTGTAATGGTGGCTGTTGCAGGTGCGTGGTGGTGGCTACGACGTGTTCACGGATCTCGACCCACTGGGCACCGGACGGAGTAAACCTTACGTTGACAAAAAACTCTTCTTTCAGGAGCTCAAAAATCCACCAAAGAAAGTGCTCAAAGACCTCGTACCGACGACGCATTCCCTTCTATCAGATATCTTGCCGGTAGAGAAATCGGATTACGGGCCGCCCACCACGATGACGTCACTCACTCGTCACTCGGGAGGCACAGTCGCGGTCGCGAAACCTACTCAGCAGACGTTCTCACCGAACTTCTTTACGTCAGATCCGTTCGCTGAGACAGACCCTTTTGATAACACGGACCCCTTCTCAGACACGTTCAAGGACGATCCCTTCACTACCATGGCTGAATTCCCTAAGATCAGCACACTGAGGATGGAGGAACCGAAGAATAAGGCCAAGGAGTCAATACTTGATAAAGACGGTCTGGAGGATAAAAACGTGTTCAACGGACCGCTTCAAGTGTCCCTACCGCCGGAACCCACGCCCAAATCCCCGAGACTAACCAGACAGGTACAAGCTAGACATTAAATGATAATGCTCGGAAACTTTTTATTTTTCCATATAATACGAGAAATACTTAATTGTAATTCATAGTTCCTAATCAAACGAAACCTTATTCCATAGTGCATGATAATATGAGAGTTAATCATCAATTACAAATTACAATACTTTAAATATATTCTGAATTCCATAAAAGTCATTCAATATATTATTCCTTATAACTCAATACCAGTTTACTTCCCCCCTACCACGATATAGAACACGGACACGAGCACGATCCGCCAGCGACCGACACCTGGTCGTATTAGTGGTGAGGGTGCGTCCCCCCCTCCCCCGCTCCCTCCTAAGAAAACCGACGCAGCCCCCGCCCCGCCCCGGCCTCCTCACGAACATGATGACGACACACCGCCCCTACCGAAACCCGCTAGGAAGAAGGAACCATTGGTAGGTAACACATTAATTCAAATATCCCTTAAAAGATACAACGACATTCCGTCCTACTCATATATTGGTATTCGTACTTCCCAGAGCCATTTACGATTTTTGAGACTATAAGTAATATCTAAAATTTTGTTCCTACAAGTGGAATATCCTAATATATTTACGTCTTATTAAACCATTACCAAGATATTGCTTCTACATCTTGACACGTAATATGTGACAACAAATAAGTAAAATAATATTGGTGATAATAGCTTAATGGATCCGACTAACTAATAAAATTTAATCCAACTCGATCTTATGTAAACAAAAAATTAAGACCTAATATAGAAATTACATATAACATGTACTTTCTAAAAGTATTTAGACATTTATTAATGCTGATTCCCAAAAGAGGGTTGATGTCAGGCAGTAAAAACAAATAGCCAAAATTATTCACAACATGTAAGGCAGATCCTGGCTATAGCTGGGAAATTGCCAGGAAGATGATAGAAATTACCATCTATATGTGATATCAGGCCGACCGCAGCATTAAGCCTCGTCAGTGTTCGTTGGCAACGAGCTCGGAAGACGAGTATTTGTCCCCGGCGCCGCCTCCCTTACCCGCCGCTCGTAGACTCGACATCACACTCAGCCAGCTATTGACACTCACAATGGATGATCTAGCCGCGAGGTAAATATATATTACACTAGCTGCGCCCCGCGGATTTCCGGGATTTCCAGCATGTAAAGTAGCCTATGTGTCATTCCTGGACGTCAGCTTCCTGTATACAAAATTTCATCAAAATCGCTTCAGCCGTTTGAGCGTGATGGAGTAACAAACACACAAACGTGTGTGTACACACGCTCACAAACTTTCGCAATTATAATATTAGTAGGACATATACTTAGTATCAGTTGGTGTTACTGTGAATGTAGATAGCAGTAAAAAGTTTGCTAAGAAATGGTATTAGGATGGGAAATAATTAGTTTGGAAGTTTAGTGTTGTCATTTATCAACAAAATCAATATTAGTCTCTTCAACAACTTCAACTTTAATTGTAGTGGAATATCTCACAGAACACCTTATGACACGCGTTTAAATTTTTTTAAAATGGAAACCTTATGTAAACGTCGGCAAATGCACGATTTAATTTTCCTTTATAAAATTATTAACGGGGTAGTTAAGAGCGAGCACCTTCTGTCGTACATTGACATCTCAGTACCCAGGAGACCCCCCAGAAAGCCTATTTATCATATATTCTACACAGCGGCCTCTCGCACCAACATTGGCAAACACTGTCCCATAAATAGACTTTGTTCCGAATACAACAAAATATGCTCCAAAATCCCGCATTTGGACGTTTTTGCTGATGCCTTGCCCAAATTTAAAAACAAAATCCACCAAATAACACCATAGTTTGTCACATAGTTAATCACATTTTGTCACATGTTTTTATTTTAATGATTTATAGTTTTTTTTTTTTGTAGTTATAGTATAGTTTTTTTTTTTAATGATTTATACTTTTTCTTGTAGTTTTGTATATTGTTATTTTATTATAAGGTAGACAATAAGTTTTATTTTTTTCTTTTTGTGAATGTTGTGTACGTCTCTAATTGTCACTCTTATCAGGTCCTAGATTTACCAATTTTATATGTTTGTCTATGTGTGTTAAATAACTGTGACGTTGATGTACCTTTAAATAAATAAATAAATAAATAAACTAGTAAGACCTCTTTTGTTGTATCTGTGGATATTTATTTCAACTAATAAGTTCTTACGTGTTGTTTTGATTTAAGATACTATAAAAGTATTGTCATATTTGTGTGCAAAAGACTCAAAAATTCAGCCACTTATTGATGCTCTTATTTTACACTTCAGTTTCATAAACACGAAACTTATCCAGGAATTTGGAAAGATGAACCTGATGTTAATGTTTAAGGACTAAAAAAATAATTCCATTGTACAATGAATGTTTGATTATTGAATACCTTCCATTCTCCAATATAAAAATCATCTTATTAACATTTTATAATCAATACTCTAAATTTCCAGACTTCGGGTTCCCGCTGCAACATTATCATCAATGACGCTGCCTCAACTAACTGACTATCTGAGATCATATGTAGCTTCCGAGAACGAGAAAGCTGTGGGTTTAATTTCATTTTTACTACATTATTATAATAATATCTTGCTTTTAGGTTATTGATTGCTCAATTTTACTTATAGCACATACACGTGGACCCGCTGATGAAACCAGAGAAAGAAAAGGTGACGCCAATAATACCCACGACTGTATCAGAGAAATTAGTAACTCTAGCGCCGGTGAACCAGTTCAAACCTCAGTTTGAAGATAACTTCGCACCTTCCGACTCCGCGGACACTTTTGTAGCTAACTTTGACGATTTCGATAAAAAAGCTAATCCAACTTACGACAAATACGCTGCCTTCAGAGAAATACAGGAACAGGAACTTAAAGCGAAATCTATATTAGACCCGATAGAACCGGAGAAACAAGAAGATGATGAACTCACTATCATTGAGAAGTTGATCAAGACTGAGGAACAGAAGATAGAAGAACGGAAAGAACTAGACAAAAGTCCACTAAAGACTTTGGACGAATTGACGATAAACTCGTTCAACATGTTCAGAAACTCCGTCAGCCCGAAACCAATCGACGCAAAAATAGAAGATATAAAAACTGTTATGAAAAATCTGCAAATAGAACAGCAGAGACGAAGCGTTTCACCCAGAGACAATGGACTACCGGAGACCAAACAAGAAGACACTAACGATAGATACGCGGCCTTAAGAGAAATAACTATAACAGAGCCGCAAGAAGAGTTCGAATCAATACCACCTGAAGCGCCCAAAGAAAGGAAGAAATCTGATGAAAAATCCGATGGATTTGATAACTCAGATTTCTTTGACTGCATCGATAACAGTTCGTTATCTTTTAACGTGGAGGACGCGTTCAGAAAGAGTCCAATAGTGAAGGAAAAGGAAGAAGAGAAGAAAATAGAAGAAAAAAAGGAAGAACCTCCGATAGAAGAGATTCCAGTAAGAGATTTACCACCGACAAGACTATCAGCGGGTTCTATAAGTGATGTAGCTAGTGGATCATCACCGGATACAAAAGGTATTGAAAAATATGTATTCATCTTTATATATCTCGATCTTACCAATATAATACTAGAAAAAAAAATTGAGCTGGAAAAGTGGAATAATCCAATACTGATGAGTACTACATAGAATCGGTTATCAACTCATCGCTATTTCTCATGTTATTACTAATAGTACAGAAAAATGGTGCTACAACATTTTTCATGTTTTCTCTATGTCTATAGTTATAATTAATTATTGTATTACTTTTGTAAAATTAGTTTACATATGTTCCTCACTTTGATCTAATATATAGAAATCTGATGCATCCCTTCAACAAATAACGTGAAAGCATAAACATCGACTCAAACATTACATAAGAATAGTAGTATAATATGAATTATGCCTTATATGATGTTTTCTATAAATAAATCTGTAAATTTGTATCAAATATGGATAATTAATAGTGTTGTCCGTTTGTAGGTGCGGTGGTTGGCGTAGTGGGAGGTCTTACTAGGCTGGGCTGGACGGAAGGCTGGTCTTCTGATTCGAGGGAGTCCGAGCCTAGACAAAGAAGAAGACGAACACACAATAGAGGACCCTCGGGTAGTTAACAACCTAGTATTATGTGATATTAGCCATAAAAAAACCCTTAACATAATAATAAGGTCTACTAACGCACTGGCGTTTGGTTTATGCTGAGCTTTGCATTTGCGTGAGTGCATACGGATAGTGTAGGTGTGATGTTAAATTTTTGAATGGCACGTTCTTTTCTAATTTTGATCCGGTTTATTCTGCTTTTACTCCGCCCCGCACCTTCCGCACTTCACCCCTTGTAATGGTAGCAACGTCAAATGTTGAAAACGCAATGTCAAGTGGACAAAAATTTGTGTAGTTTTATTAAAAATTTCATTACTTAAAAATTTTTGTTTTATAATATTTCCATTTGGCCTTTTACAAGTTTTGCTTATTTTATTTTTAATCTAAAAAAGATCTAGCAATTATGTTATGTATTTATTAAAATATAATAAAATTGAATTCTAAAAGTTTTTTTGTCTAACTCTACTTTTAATTTCATTCACACAAATGCAAAGCTCAGCTTAAGTCTAACGGACTGTACCTGCTCTTGTTTGTTTGAACAATCAGTGAGGCACATCTGCTGGTTACTACATATTATATCCTGTATTAGGAACATTAGTTTTTAATAAATATATGAATTTTCCAAAAGATAAAAAAGATGCTGGGTCTTTTATAAGATCTTAATAATAATTAAAAATGTAAACTAGATGAAATATATAACATTAACTTGCTTAGTAAAAAAGTACGCGGGAATTGTAATTGAAAGACCGTATCATCCCTTGTGCTATATAACTAATTCTTAGAAAGTTATATAAAAAAGTAACATAAGTATAAACTCTATTAAATTAAATAAGTATCTCCAATACTTATTGTTTAAAAGGTCATATGTACAGAATCATAATCGTAATAATATGATATCATGTAATATGAATTATATTCTAAATATTGTTATTATATTACAGTACAGACATCATCATCTTCCCGAGATGTGTCTCCGTGGGATGAGGAACCACCAACCAGATTAACACGACCTCCTTCACATAGGGACAGGGGTAGAGACTCTAGGTCAGATATACTGGATGTTATTTATTTATTTTATTTATTTGGTAATCCAACAGTTTTTATACGTAAGTTTCTATATTAACTATTATATAACATAAAATTAAAACCAAAATAGGATTACACAGGTAACTTAAACATATTAATAACTAGAAGATGGTAGCATAAAAGTAAAACTTATAGTATAAAAGTATTATAAAGGTAAAACTGTTTACGGGTGGGAATCCAATAGGTGCGTGTTTGCATGTGTGTGTGTGTGTGTGTGTGTGTGTGTGTGTGTGTGTGTGTATGTCAAAGAATAAATAAGTCAAAGAATATCTATAACTAGTTTTTTATCATTTTATACTAGTCCTTGCTACACATTACATTTATTTAATTTTCATCTGTCAGCTTTTAATTCTGTTAAAAGGTCTCAATCAAGACATAACATTCTATTGTATGAAAATTGTATCTATAAAAATTTTGAAAAAGAACCTGTGTTTTTAATACTTAAATTATTTATAGGTATAGCAAAATATGTTTTTGTCTAATCTTGTTCAGAGTTAATTTTTGTTAAAAAATCCATAGAAACATCAAATATTAGGAAGTTAATACAAGCTTATGAGCAAGCAATAAAATTGTATTTGATTCAAATAATAAAAGATACTTAATAAGGAAACTATTTGTAGTGTACAATTTTAAACAAGAAAAGAAAAACGAATTATTATTTAGGCTTATATATGTATGTAAATAATTACAGGCACAATTCATCCGGATCAAGAGAGTGTCTCGATTCAGGCAGTGGGAGAGAGAAGGAGAAACGAGATAAACGAGGCAGCAGAGAGAGAGACTTGAACAGAGATGGGAGAGAGTCGGCCAGAGATAGGAGAGATTCCGGCAGTGGGAGAGATAGGCGTGACGTCAGCAAGGAGAGAGATCACAGAGACCATAGGGAGGGAAGAGACAGGAGAGATAGACGGAGTAGAGAAAGAGAAAAGGAGTCTTGGAACAGAGAGAGAACTTACAGCAGAGAGAGAGATTACAGAGACTCGAGGAGCAGAGAGAGATCTAAGGACTATAGAGATATAGACAGACATAGGAAGACGAGACACTCATATGATGACGGAGAGTAAGATATATATAGCATCTGTTCAGTTATAACATAAAGTTAGAGGCTTAGCAAATTAACAACTTAATATAATTTATATCGTAAATGATTCTTCTTCATTAACAATTAAATTAATAATTATTTTGAGGTACATATATACACCTCATGTCAGGACTTTAAAAACTTAATATTTGATATTCCATTTCTATTTTTTCTATATAATTATGACTATAGCTTAGTTACTCGAATAAGTGAAACAATTTATAAAGTGCTCATAATCTGTAATAATATTTGTTTTACAAAAGTTTTATATTTTATTTGATAGTCAATAAAAGAATATCTTAAGCTCTATAAGGTATAAAGTATGTATGTACCTTCTGATCCGCAAAATTTTAGTTTCACTCAAATAAATTCTTAATTATTTAACATACTTATATGAAATAGACAGATGAGCTATTTGAATGATATTATCAAGTTTTAACGAAAATTATCTTATTTGGTCGGACAAGTTAAGTCTATAAAGATAAATAATTTTAATTATTCTACTAAACTCATGTTTTATAGTTACAGTGACGGATGTGGTTCAGGAAGATCTTCACCCAGAGAACGATGGAACGAAAGATGGAGGAGAGATGGTATAATAATTATGAGTTTTATCATTATATTATACTTACATAAATATTTGAGATAATACATAAAAATATGTTAATAATGTTCTTAGTAATTTTCTCTAACTTATTCAAGTTACACTATACTATATTTGCACTAACAAATTCGTTTATCATATAAAAAAATTATAAATCGTTACATAATCTATATAAGTCGGTTTAATATATCTCCAATATAATAAAAATGAAATGGTGAATAAGGAAATAGGTTCAAAAAGCAAATGTAAAATAAGCATTATTATTAATATTGTAGATTTCATTTCGTGATTGTGTTCTATTACAGAAAGAAACTATGGTTCATTGGGCTGGCGGGAGACACGACGGAGAAATGAACTGAGGCAGGCAGAGGATAGTAGTGAGAGGAGGTTGTAATGAATATATATAACTGTAATATATGGGGCATTTCACGTGAAGCGGACAGGAAAAAAAATGAGATTTGGAAAATCGATCATATTGGGACCATTTATACTTCTAGTAGGTATGAATGTAAACACAGAAAATTTTTTTGTATAATGTATATTTCACAAGACATGGGTATCTAAAGAATTGTCGTAACACCAATACGATTATGCCTTTGGGCAAAATCATCTTTAAAACAAACAACTATATTTTGAATTAAAAAAAAAATGGTCGAAGTGAATGAAATTCAAGTTTGAAAAGTTTACTTCCGGTTTTGTACATGAAAACAAAACCTATTTTTTAATTATTTTTTTTATTGTTAAAAAGAACAGTCTTTTCCGCTAACTATCGCTATAATATATACTTTATTGTAAATTTATTTAATTCAAAAAAATACCTTCATAAAAATTTATATTTCGATTACGACAATGCTTTAGATACCCATAACTTGTGAATTATACATTATACAAAAAAAATATTCTGTGTTTACATTCATACCTACAAGAAGTATAAATGGTCCCAATATGATCGATTTTCCAAATCTCATTATTTTTTCTGTCCGCTTCACGTGAAATGCCCCATATATGATATATACACATAACTGATATATAAATGGAAATATATATTAGAGTACATAATATATGTTTTCATTAGTTAATATGAGAATATTATTCTTCAGATACGGCTGTACTCTCGGCTGGCCCGGACGACGGTCTGCTGGTGGTACAAGGAGGGAGACGGATAGAGAGATCAGGGATTCCAGGGAATCCCGGGATTCAGGCCGGGATTCCGGACGGGATTCGAGAGACCCGCGGGATTCCGGCAGGGAATCGGGCCGGGACTCACGCGATCCACGGGATTCCGGTCGGGATTCGGGTCGTGAATCCCGGGATGCGAGGGAACCGGTCCGGGATTCACGGGATCCGAGACGTCGGCGCCGGGAAGATACGAGAACTAGACCACGGGACTACAGGTTCTCGAACGACTTCTCTCCTCGCGAGAGAGAACACTCCTCGCCGTTTGATAATGACTTCCAAGATACTCCTGTACCGAGCGTCAAGAAGAAGACTCCTTACGCCACTCTGGAAGGAACCAGGTCACTATTAGATCCTACTAGTATTATAAATGAGAAAATAACTCTGTCTGTCTGTCTGTCTGCTACGCTTTCACGCCTAAACCACTGAACTGATTTTAATGAAATTTGGTACAGAGATAGAGTTGACCCTGAGAAAGAACAGGATAGTTTTTATCCCAAACTTTTGAAAGGTTCTCTTGGAAACGCGATATAACCGAACTCCACGCGGGCGAAGCTGCGGGCGGAAAGCTAGTATTATATAAATAAAGAGGTGGCACTATTCATACATAAATGAATCCTTTATAGAGTATCACTACATATATGAAATTGACAATCACAAATACATCTAAATTCTAAACTTAAACTGTATATATTCCAGGTTATTATTCGAAGCGGAGGACAGTACAGCGTCCCCTCTATCAGCGGGGTCTGTTCGTCGTGAGGGCGAGTCCCCCGCGGCTCGATTCCGTTTCGATTCAGACTCTGTCTCCCCGCGGTCTATGTTCGAAGATGACTTCACTCCACGCGCGCCCTCTATCGCCGAGGAGGATGAAGGCGAACCGGCGCCTCTACGACCGAAGCCCCCGCGTGACGTCAGAAAGTCAGATTCAGTGGATATATTCACGAGGGAATCCGACCCCTTTGAAAACGACGCGTTCTTCGCCTGCACCGGCTCGGATAGAGTCGCGCGCAGAGAAAACTGGCCCGGAGACTTCCACGGCTTCGACAACGTGTAAAACATCCGCTTCAAGTGAAAAATACTTTATTACCAGCAATAACTCAGTTAACAGGGAACACAATTAAAAACATAACAATATTTTGCTGAATAACATGGCGCGATTTCCAAGGGCGTCCACACTAAGCGAGGTTGTGTCGTGGATGCCAAGCTTGATGTACCCGATTTGAATACTCATTGTAGCCGTTCTAAGTTCTCCATATATTTGTTGTTAAGGATCTCATATTTGATATTGTGTAATTATATACTGAAACTACTTTATATTAAGTGATTGTAATCTATTGTGAATTATTATAATTACACTTGGCTTAGCGAGCCGTGTATTCATTCTGCCCGCGTCTTTTTTATGCCTTTAGTGAACCTGTGATATATGCTTGTATTTTGATTTATTTTTCGCTTAAATAACAACAGCATAGTAGAGAATCGTTAATGACTATGACTTAATTTATAACTACGTATTGAAAAAAAACTATTCCTTACAATAATCGTCTTTTTATATGTAGTGGTATAATGGCAACACAACAAAAAATATCCTGGGCACAAAAGTTTAGATACTCGTGGGTTATTGATGATGTACATATTTTCTAATGTTGCTTTGTAAATAATTATTCCGTTCCATTAAATACTGTATTAAATATCAACAATTCAACTCCCAGAAGCAATATGAAAATTAAATTAATTAATCCATATATTGTCTTGACTAGGACTCTTAATTATGAAGTAATTCTAATGTTTATTGATTCTCATTTAATGATATTTTTTATTCTCTGACTTTGTGTATTTTATTTATTTTACTGTTAATATTCTGCTCATCTGTAACAGTGAGCGGTAATGACTTTGAATACATTTTTTGATACATGTATTTCCAAAATATGTAGATGTTTCTTGTAATCACTATAATTTATTTCTGTGATATAATAAGTATTGGAATTTTATTAAATGTAAAGCAATAAAATTAACTTTTTTGATGGATGATATTTAAACAATATATGTATGTACCTCACATATTAATGAATGTATTAATGTGTAGCGCTGATGTTAACCGTAGTTTCTTGCTTGTTGATTTTTGCTTTTATTTGTGTGTTACATTAGATTACCCTATTGATACTCGTCACAGAACATGTTTTGTATTTATGTATTTTTGTACATAAATAGGTTTTATGTATAATAATGTGCAATTATTACTCCTCAAGAGCAGTACCAAAGGTATTTATGTTATATACCTAACTGTTGTGTAAAATACTTAAAAGTTAATAAACTTATAACAACCTTTTTTGTTTGTTTTTTTTATCTTGATAATTATATATTTTTAATAAATTTTTGTTTTAATGCATGTAGATCAACTGCTTATTGCTACATTTAATGTATGTATTATGTAATTTTAATGTTTTTGAGTAGAATGTTTATTTTTAAACATTTAATTTTTTAATCTCTGAGTTACAGTAAATGATTTTTGTTCGGAAACGTGAGCTTTAAAAAGAAAACAATAATTTCTACATGTGTGCCACAAATAAGACTAATTATAAAATCCTTTGATTTCGTATAACATTTTTATTTACCGATTAAAAAAATAGTGAAGCAATCTCGTAGTATCTAGTTGCAATAGTCTACAACCCAATACAATACCTTTTTTTTTCCCGCAATTTCTCGATAATACCTACAAATTTTAAGTTTTGCTACCCTCTTCAGTTGTCTAGTTACACTACGTTAGTACTTACAAATATACAAATCATACAATCTAGGACTGCGTGAATGAGTAAGAAATTTATCTTTTAAGGAACCATCCATACAAGCTTTATTATTTAAAAAAATTAAAAAGTCAAGAAACAATTTAATAGGTGCCAAAGGAAAAAAATGATTTTTTTAAATCGTCTTTGAAAGAATGATGATAATGAACAATATTTATTAATTTTCAATATAATCAATATTAAACTTAATGGTAACCAAATTAATTTACGATAATTATGATACATATAGAAGTTATTGTTTAAAAAATTAAGTACTTAAGTGCAAATGTAAAAATTCGAATATTTAAAAATGGATTATTCTTACTTTTTTACTGCAGGTGGAGATCCGATTATTTATTACTAATGTAGAAGTATATTTAGAATATAAAATTCTACATAAAAACATTCTAAGTAATTGTATGTATTTAATATTCAAGATTAGATGATATTTAATTAGCGTAATTACGTATAGATTACGCATTAAACTCAATTATTTTGTATACGTCATATTCAAACAAATTTGAAATTAATTTATTTAATCTGTAAGTCAAGCAGAAAAATGTTTTATTAATGTGGCGTCAATATGTCAAAATTAGTTGCCAAAACTCAAAAGTAAGATGATAGCTCAATAACAGCTGTTTTGAGTGTTATTAATCAGTGGATACGTGGTAAATAATTATTTACATCGAGAGTAGAACTTACTTTTGTTTCGTAGGTCATGATATGTTTTAGTAGTTTTAGACTTAATTAAAAAATGAAACAAAGGTAAGTAAGTAGTGCGAGACGTAAATTTGCAACATCGATGTTTACTTGGTGTTAAGATGGTGTTTTCCAGGTCGCGATCTTCACATAGTGGGAATGACTTAATAGAAAATATGAACGGGTACAAAGACGATAACGAATATAAGAGTGAAGTTCAACTGTACAGAATAAAACCTCAAGACCACTTTATTGAAGCTCAAGTCCAAGAGGGCGATACGTTGCAGGCGATTGCATTACGGTTTTATTGTTCTGTAAGCATCATTGATTTATAACACGCCTTTGTTCTTACATATGTAACATGACAAGCTTTTGTGTCAACATACAAAAAAATACTACAAAAGAATTGTTATTTGTTTCTATTTGTAAAACTTATAGCTCTATGACACAATATTTTTATATTTTAATTAATATTCATAATGGTTTCTAATGAGGATTATATAATCATGAATAAATTTTAGATTTCAGAATTGAAAAGGATTAATAATATTCATAAAGACAATGAAATTCATGCAAGAAGAACCATCAAAGTGCCCGTCACTCCGTACTCTGTGCTCACAGAACTCATACCAGCAAAGCAGACGCCCGAGCCCACACCATCAACATCTAGCCATATATCCACTAGTCTAAATATGAATAATCTACTTCAAGACCCTGTTCAGAACAGACTGTTACCCACAAATTTGGATACATCAAAGAAAATAGAATCTAAGGATGGCGACTACTCTATAGATTGTAACACTGTCGTATTAAACAGTACTCTCACGCCTTTAGTTGTGCCTTATACAGACTCAGAGCAGAACGAGAGTATCTCAGAAGATACAAAACTTTTACCAAACAAACAAAAAGTGCCAGTTGAGGCGGTCGTGGTGAAAGAGTTGACTTCACACGGTGCCGATTTTGGTTTGAAATGGTTCCATCTGTTGTGTTTTGTTCTGGTTCTAGGATTTGCTGCCCCTTTAATATATGTGATGTTTTATTTGGACAAACCGGAACATTCAGAAATACCACCGTTACATCCTACATGATACATCCCTACACACACCATCTGAACAAACAGCTTTAAGTTCTGGCGATATTTTGATACTATTTTTATATATTGTATTATACATATTAAAAATCTAAGGGGACTGATGTGATTATTGAATATAGATATATATATTATAAGCAGAAAACTTTTTTCTTTCAACAAAAATTTCCACTTTCTGATAAAACAAGCCATAAAACTTGAATAAGAACATTATTTTTCATTAACAACTGTTTTGTTTTACATATACTTAGACATTTATTTAAATTTTAACCCAGATAATATGAGTCATTATATCATTCATTTTTCCTTAAGGAGGAACCTCTATATAGATATTTGTATTGACAAGTTTGTGTTCAAACACTTTCCATTACATATCAAAACATTTAAGACATGTCTTATTAATATTTTCCAATACAATTCATTTTTAATCTGCTGTCTAAAGCCTCAAGTAATTCTAAAGTACACATAATCAGGGATATAAAATAAAAGATAATATATATATTCACAAAATAAACCTTTATTTTATTCTACATTTGCTTAAAAATAGATCGATGTAACAAATCATCAGTAAATTAAATCATTGCCATTAAACACAATCCTAGTTAAATATCTTTGTATAATTATGATAAATGCAATTTCTCTTACATCGTAATAAAGTTTCATCGGATCATTATCGAACCCGTAAATTGACGGTAAGTTTATATAGACATCATGCATACACCGATCACACCGACGGCGTACCGATCGTAAGCCTCCAGAGGTTACTTATATATTTCCGTTGAGTCTGCGACTTAAATAACTTAAATTACTTTGTGTTATCAGTAATCAAAAGTTTCCACGGCCGAGGTTCGGATTGCTCTCGTGCACACTGGAAAAAAAAAAACGATATATGAAAACCATTTTCAATAGGGAAGACATTACATATACAATACTATATATATTAAAGAGTTAGCACAGTGAAGTCGTACATAGATCGATAGTAGCATGACAAAGGCAGTCTCCTCCGAAGATAACGCACACGCTTTGTAGGCAGATTAGTGATTTCTTGTTACATAATTCAAACAACAAAATCACTAGTCTTCCATACAACACGAGGCCTTTCCAGTTAGTTGGTGGACACTCCTAGAACATTGTTATTCACCACACGACTCACACAAAGCATTATTAGTTAGGAAACGTGAAGAATATAAGATACTATATAACATGTTTAACAAACTACCCACAGTACTCAAGTATCCGAGATACACTATAATAATGTACTATACTAAATAGAAACCAAAGTGTATAAGGAATTATTAGTTACTTTATTAAGAATAATATAATTTTTACCTTTAATAAATATACTCTTGGTCAGAGAGTGTTATATTATTTAAGCTTATTTTTGTTTGGTGCCAGTTCTGGGAACTCTTCAAACATTCTATTGCAAAAAATTGTGTTAGTACTGTGATATGTTGTTTAGAAAATATATACAAATATGTTTTTAAATTGGAGCTTTATCTATTGTAAATGTCGCTTATTGTAATAAGTTAGGTATTTCAATATGAATATATAGATAAATATTTAATGGTATTAGTACATTGACTGTATGTGGAAGCATTAACATGATCACTTACATACAATAGTTAAGACATCATGCATAATAGACTTACAACATGGGCCGTTTATATGGTAGAATGATCTGAACGCAGTATAAGCATATGGAAACATATATGTGTCTCTATTTGACAAAAACATGAGTATACATATCAGTGTGTTTGAATATTAAAATTACGCTATGACTCTATTTGTAGGTATGTCTGTTTGTGTATAAACACTAATCGAACTGAGATTGTTTGTCTTCTCACATGTAATATGTATCAGTGTGTGTCTATGTGTGTGTGTGTGTGTGTGTGTGTGTGGTCCGCCTACCTCTGTTTGTATATAAGCTGTAATCGAACTGAGATTGTTTTTATCAGTCTGTGTGTGTGTGTGTGTGTGTTTGTATGTGTGCGTGTGTGTGTGCTGCCCACCTCTGTTGCAGCAGGTACTGCGCCTTCTGTATGCGGGGCGGCGTGCCGGTGATAGTTATGATCCTATCGGCGGCTCCGGGCAGCGGCTCGGCGATCTCTATCCCGGCGCCGCTCTCCGCGCGGATCTTCCGTATGCGGGACCCCGCTTTGCCAATGATGGCGCCCGCGAGCTGGACAAACACACATTATGAAATGCTGCACGTAGACTTTATTTATATTTAACGAATCAAAAGTGCGCCATACATGCTTATTAAATGAGTAATATAATATATATATCTGTATGTGTTAATCCTCACATCTTTAGGTATGGTAACTTGTGTGGTAGTCTCCTGTTGGTTTCCTCCGTTGCTGTTGAAGTTTCCTCCTGATGACGAGCGGTTGCTGCCGCCGAAGTTACCACCGAAGTTGCCGCTACCACCTCCACCACCGCCGCCACCAAAGTTCCCACGAGGGGGTCCGTTGAAGTTACCACGGGGCCCCGGGCCTGAGAAGTCGTTGAAAGGTCTGGGGGGCCCGTTGCGACCGATCGGAGGGCCTCCTCTGGGTGGTGGTGGACGTCCTCCCGGTCCCATAGGTCCCGGAGGTCCTCGCGGAGGGCCCCGCGGCGGTCCTCCCCGGGGCCCTCCTCCACGAGGCCCCTGCCCACTGCCGAATCCTCCGTATTCATCCGCATAGAAATCATCATAATTATGTGGATCGTAGTTCTGCACGGCTCCCTTGATCGGCACCTGTAACGTTATTATAGTTTATTATTTAACGCGCTTCATGTTTTTATATAACCCAGTCATAAAGCCGTGTGTTAGTGTTGTATGTTGTATCAGTATGTGGCAGCTGTGTCCGTCACCTGCCGTGGGCCGCGTGTTTAACGCTCATACTATAGCCTTCATAGAAATCGTTAACGCTAATTCTCGAACAGTTTAATGAACGTTATTTGCATCAAATATATAAATTATAATAATAAAAAAAGTATGCAAGCAAATTTAGTCGATTCAACAAAATTATATCATTAAAGTCTTTATACTAAGCTTCATAGGAACAGAGTATAATTACATATAATAAAACAATCACTATACTTAATTGAAAAAACCCATATTACACATCTATTTTCTTAAACAAACGACAATATTTTTAATAACCAACACACTTAAACTTACAAAACATTTGATTAAACCTTTGCTAAACATTATTCTGCATGTATGTATGTGTGTGTTTGTGTATATATAGATCATTTCCTCACCTGCCTCACCAGATGCAGCACCTCCCTCACCCCGTCAGCCACGGAGCCAGCGGACCCCACGAGCTGCACCACGCGCTCCGTACTCTGGGGCGCCGTGTTGGAGAAGATCTTCAATCTGGAGCCAGTTTTCTGATGAAACAATTATTATTACTATTTAATTATATCTTCAAACTGTTTTATAGCTTACAAAATATCTTATACTAAGAGATTTTGGAATACGGATAATCCTACTAATATTATAAATGCGAAAGTTTGTGAGTGTGTGTGTATGTTTGTTACTTCTTCAAGGTCAAACGGCTGAACAGATTTTGATAAAAATTTGTATACAGGAAGCTGACGTCCAGGCATAACATGTAGGCTACTTTACATCCCGGAAATCCGCGGGTAACACCGCGGGGCGCAGCTAGTATTTTATATTGTAATGTGCGCTATTATTTGGTACGCTCACATCTAATATTTTCAAAATTTATTTAAACAAATTTGAATCACCAAATGTCTGTACATGTATATGAAATACAAAAAAAAGTGCATACGTTAGAACTTAAACAATGATTATATTATATTAATTGGAAAAATTAAATGTTCTAAACATATTTAATATATAATTAAACTTGGTTTAATATTTCAAGCTCCCGAGAGCTGTGAGATGTTTATTGTCTGTCATCATTGAAATAATACTGTGGTAACTGGTAATTTTAACTCTATATTTAGATAAAGTTTAAACCAAACCTCGGAAATAATTACTCCAACAATATAATAATAATATAAAATAACATTTCTATTTGAGTTATTAAACAATTTAATTCCATCCAACACGCAATTATAATGTACATGTATGGTCTTGTTAATAGTCGTTACCCTAACACCTGTATGTTACATGGCCCCTTAACGACCACTTTCTTAGTCATCAAATTTATTTACAACCCAATTTTATGAATAAATAATCGTATTTCATTCGAGCCACCGTCCGTTACATCGGGGATGACGTTTGTGTGTGTACTGCGCATGCGTCGACGGATCGACCCGCGCACGTGGACCACACACACACACACACACACACAGGAACTGACACACACACGCGCACACTACACGCAAACAACGCTTACGCACTTTTACAACCGATCTAATTTCAGATTGAATTAACAAAAGTTAGAACGCAATAATGTATCAACAATGTTAGCTAATTTTAAATATATTTATAAACACTTGATAAACTCTGTAATAAAATAATTGTTACATATTTAATTTATTTTACAAAACGAACCTCATTAGAAACGATGTAACCTGGTTAAAATCAATGAAATGTAAGCACCAATCACTTTTCATTGTGTCCATAATACAAGTCTTCAAGTCGCGATTAAACTAAGCGTAACCGAATACGATCAAAGTAGAACGGTGTAGAGGAGCAAGCAAGCGTCCGTCTCCCTGCGCGGTCAGGGCAGGAATGAGCTACTTCACCGTAGTGCGTCGTGCAACACCTGACGACCCCCCCCCCCCCTACACAACCCCCCACATCCCTCACGAGCCGTACTGCACTTGTAGGGCTTGCGTCAACCGTCACCCGCGCCACGCCTACGAACTACCAACACTACAACTGTTGTCATAAACTTTATTAACTATCAACTAATGACTATTAACTATACATCGATTGTATTTTTTTAAAGGTTCTATATGGAATTAAAATCTTTAAAGTGTATATTCACTATATACTTAGTGGCAAAAAAGTTACGTATACGAAAATATTAGAAACTTTGCGGTAGAATTGATAATTAATTGGACTCGATAGAATTGTATCGGGCATCATTTCGTTGTATAAATGGGTCGATAGTGAGGCTAGTATTTGATGGCACCGAAGCCTTACGGCGTCGGTTCGATCGGAAACGGAAGCGGGCTCGCGTGCCCGCGCGCCTAATTGCCGGTGTCACCGCCACAACTCCTGTAATTACGTCTGCGACATATGCGACCGGTTTGAATTACAACGTACGGCGGCGTCATGGCCTTCCTCACACGAAGCACGGCCCGACTCCTATAGGCTATAATACATAGGGATTTCCGTAGTCGGCATCACTTATAGATGTAGCGATAGGCGAACAAAGCCGTGTCCCTGTGAGCGTGGCTCGCATCCAGTTTAATAAACGAGGATGTGGCAAAAACCTTCCCCCATCACGTGCGACGGAGGCCGCGCTTCCGACGGATGAAACCCCACCGACCACGTGTTCCGACACCCTCTTACAACAATACACCTTAAATATAATATTTAATTCAGACTTCTCTTGATATTCCTTTGATCGGTGGATCGACTCGGCTACCTGCTAGCGGCATGTGTTCCTTGAGGTCACAGTGAACCTTTGTCCGAGCTGTGACTGGTCCAGGTGTTAACGTTTTTGTGAGCCTTCCGCCGGCTGAGCCCCACCTGCCGATATCGTCACAGCTGCCGCCCGCACGCGACTAAACATATGCCTGTATTACATACACGACGACGGCAAGTAAAATGTATGTAATGCCTCCACGTAATATGTACGTTCACTCAGAACCGTTCTTGTCTAAGCGAATCTTAATCCCCGACGAAAACATCGGTATTGATTTGGCAAAACTGGCTGATGTAATAAAAATCGTCTTTAGTACGGCTGTAGCGTCTCGCAGACTGAGTCTCGCCGTATGTATAAAAACTAGTTCATGGCAACAAAGAAATCATAAAAATATCACAATTGATGGTATCCTATTGATGATACGGCGTCGCGGAACGTTAAAGCCATTATACCATTATGTTTACTTGCATATATTTCGGTCGTTTTGTCCTCACAGGTAGAGTCCATTGACACGATCGGAATCCGCTACACAAATATGAACAAAGAACTCGCATTCTATAACCCAATCCATTCAGAGGGACAAAAAACTGCAGATGCTTAGCGGGAATCCTTAGCAGAAATGAAACATCTCCGAGTAAGCGATCGACTAGCATGTGAACGGAATTTTTTGTTCCGAACAGCTGACTGCGGGCATTATTCATATAACATAACCAAGTATATAGGAGCGCATGAGCTGTATGTACGTAGGTAGCGATATATTTGTATGAACATTCGGAACAGTCGACAAGTATAATATAATTTAGCAGAACAGCTAAATGTCTGAACACAACTTGTGGAACACAATACGGCTAGTTGTCGAAGTCGACGCTAGACGTTTTAAAACTTCCCTACATAGTTAGTTGTTGGTAATGGATCGCTGCGATGCAGTCTGTGGGGCTTTCACATTATTTGTTGCTACCAGAAACGTGACAAATTGTGAGGCTTTCAAACTTAATCAAATAGAGAGCGCGGCGGCGGACCTATTCGATGGGTCTCGATAAATTGAACCATTTAGATCACTGATCCATATAACGAAAAACCTAGCACTATTTTTTTACGCGATCTATTTAGACCTGAAATAGGAAAGCCGTAGATAGAGTGGCTATGTACGTTTTATAATTGAATGAGATCGACGTGTGTCGAAACTTTGTTAGGAGCAGATGCGGAGCTTCGGAATTAAGTGAAATCTGATAAAAAAACTAGGTAAATTGTCTAAAACATCCGTCGAATTGTGATAAGACGGGATATGGGAGGCAGCTGCCTTCACATCTGCCCTTCATCCGCAGACGACCGAATATTGAGAGCAAAAAACACACTTCATTACTCGGCAGATGAGAATCATGGAAAGGCAGCTGTTACCGTCATTATAAATGAGCTTACGACCCGTACACCGTACACCGAACAAGTCAGATTGCTCTATATAACTTATAAGAGCATGATTTAGTAAATTAGTTGTCTTCGCAGAATTTAGGAGCAGATTGTATACATATAGATTGATTAAATTAATACTTTGATAATTAAATTGCGTAATTGTACTGAAATTTTAAATTTGAGGGTAGTTAAAAATGTTATATGTACTATCAATAAGATATGTTAGAGTAAGTTCTTGTAAGTTAGCTATAAGTTTTTTTTTATTATTTTTTTTTTATTTTTTGTATTTTAATATTTCCTTTTTTTTTTTTTTTACTCATGTTGTGGTGTGATCCAAATAGTTTCTATCTATCTGTCAGATAATGTATTTTAGTATGTGATTTATATGTATACTATGAACGTTAAGTTTGATGGTATCTTTTAAGTCCTACCTCTCTGAGTTCCTTGATCTTCGCCCCAGCCTTCCCAATAACACAACCAGCTCGGCTTTGGTGTATCAACAGACGTACATCCAAGTCTTCACTACTACCTCCGTGCTTCGACCCTGAACCTGGGCCAGACGCCTGTAGGAATTATAGAGAGTAAGAAATATATTAAAACATTATCCTTATAATATTATAATTGAGAAAGTTTGTGAGTGTGTGTGTATGTTTGTTACTTCTTCACACTCAAACGGCTGAACCGATTTTGATAAAATTTTGAATACAGGAAGCTGACGTCCACGAATAACACATAGGCTACTTTACATCCCGGAAATCCGCGGGGCGCAGCTAGTATAATAATAATCGGGCATTTTTCTTGACATTTGTACGAAAGCCTATTGAAACAAAAGAGGTTTACTCAAAAATATATGTAATATTGATTCTGTTAAAACATTTAAATGTAAACTAAATTTACATTTGAATTAAATGTTAGTATCCTCGACTGTACATTTATGATGATGGATCGCACGCTATAAAGTTATATAGAGAATGTTTTTGGATATGCGCCTTCATAAATGTGGTTCATAAGTCTAACATGTAATTAGATTTATGCCAAACGGCAGTGCAGTCTTATATTCGTTCAAAGATAGTTGATATGTTTTCATTAGTTATTCATTTCTATGGTGATACTTACGTCAGCCAGGTTGGGCAGTATCTCTTTCACAATTTCCATAATAGTGTCGATATCCGAGGCCGTTATGGAGAGAACTCTGAAACACAAACACTCAGTTATACCACATCAATATGACGGGGGAAAGGGGAATATAAAAACACATCACAATATTGTAAACGGTTTGTAAATCAACGGTCAGGGAGGTCTTTAATGATATCTCATTGACAAAATGCTGTTACACTTTGGAGATATCGCTGAGAGTACGACAGCTTAGGTCCCGAAGTGTTGGGGGATGCGGCGAGGGGGGCGGGGGGTTGGTTGTGGTTGTGATGGGACGGACGGACGTGACGTCATGGGATCGGGGATGAAGCGGCTGACTGTTGAGTGACCGGCTGTAAGTGAGAAGTTGGCGATAGTTTACCGTTCGGGGCCAGGGCAATCTGGGACTGTTATAGAGGCTTTGTACTGGCGACGGGGCGGCGGCAGGCGGCGGCGGCGGGACCGGCAACCGAGAGCGTTGTAGCGGCGCACCGGACTACCCCATACCACCGACATACGCTCATACTATACTACCATTCACAACACACTACTTGCACCGGCGTAATATGAACTTTAAAGATAGGTTAATCAAAGGTGCAGTTGATAATGGTAGGTCGGCTGGTATGGAGGCGAGCGGTGCGACCCGCTACTATCACAGACACTTCTCGGGGGCAGTAAGAACCTGTAACTGGCTGCCGGGGGGTTATTGTCTAGCCTACGATCTGGCCGCGTATCCTCGTATCGCATACGATAATTAGTACAAAAATAAGATTCAAAGACCGGGGGGGTCAAAGATATTGGTTCGGTAATCGGTTGTATTAAGAGCGGTACATGAGTAAGGTTTGGTACCTGTGACGAGAAAAAAAAAGTCATACAATTAAGTATACATGTATGTATGTATATAGTAATAGAATATATTCAATGTTTACTTACACTAACATCTGTAACACCTGGAACTATACCATGGTATTAATTGTAATGTATGTATAGTATTCATGACGTCATCATGATACAATGTTTTGTGTCCTTATACTACCTGATTGTGGTATCCGTAGTGTTACTGTTACTATATATATACTCGATTTACTTACGATTAAGATGCTATATAAATACTGACCTCATTCCTCAGCTTGGATATGTTAGCGCCTCCTTTCCCAATAATCGACCCAGCCACCTGGTACATGGTAATTTAAACGGTTATTAACATCTTAAAAACTATTATAATCATTTTAACCTTACCACCGGTTTGTATAGACAAAGTGAACACGGAAGCTTCAGTCTTTAAAACGCAGAGTAAAAAACAGAAACTGTTAACCTCTGTTTTATACCATTTAGAATTTCGTTGTTTTCAATAGTTATTACGTCTTACTGAGTTAGCTACGTTCTAAAACTGAATTTCCTGCGACCGTCACGTATTCACTACAAACTGTCCGTGTGCCGTTTGTTTAATACTCGTGGTAAGGTTTGTGTCGTACGTACCTTGCTCGGTATAAGGAAGGTAACTTCATCGTCGCTGTGCCGCTGTCTCTTCTGCATCGGACCATCGTCACCGTACGCGTCGCGTTTCATGATGCCTGTATAATATATTATATACAATATATATACATGGACATATTAAAAAGAAAACATTTAATATATATATAAAAAAGCTTTGTATAACAAAATAGTTTTTGATTTTACGTTAAGAAAATAAGAGCTGTTAATAAATGTTTCAAAATTGTGATAATAGTATGAGTTTTCGATATTTTTCTTAGCACAAATATATCGTTTGTAGTAAAAATATTGTTAACATAAAAAATATATAGGATTTTACTACCGACATCCTCTCGTTAGGAATTTATATATCTATATGTATATGACTGAAAAAAAAAATCCTTTTGTTCACTGAAACGATCCAATTAAATAATATTGCTGTATTTTAAATTAAAAATACAGGAGCAAAGTAGCGGTGAAATATAGTCGTGCATAGATACTTTTAGAAAACAACATATTGCTTATATATATAAAATAACCTAATTAAAAAGAAATCTTTACAATATCTTGGGTCACTCCCTATACAGAACCAAAGAACGTGAATAGAAAAAAAACCTATTCCTCTCTCAATATGTGGAAAGGCCGAGAGAAATCTCATACAATACGCACTACAGTCGCCTACAATGAGAACCCAAAACCAACAAGTTCAAGTAATTGAAATTATCGAATACCGACCTACGAGGAGCTAACATATATATACTAGCTTTCCGCCCGCAGCTTCGCCCGCGTGGAGTTCGGTTATATCGAGAACCTTTCAAAAGTCTGGGATAAAAACTATCCTATGTTCTTTCTCAAGGTGAACTCTATCTCTGTACCAAATTTCATTTAAATCATTTCAGTGGTTTAGGCGTGAAAGCGTAACAGACAGACAGAGTTACTTTCGCATTTATATATATATATATGTTTTTGTATATATCCATAGTACATCTTAATCGGATTGTATCCAGACCGATCTAAAGTCAATCATCGGATGCAGGCCGGCGCCACTTCGCCGCCCGGGTATCGATCCCGCTAACATTTGATGAAAACCAACAAACAATTAACACTAGACATCTGCCGCGGGTCTGTCTTACTTTAATATTATTGTATCGTATTCCATTGTATATAAAGATTCCATACTTGCATTCTAGTAATTAAATGTTAACCGGAATTTGTGGCTTGCGTGATGGCGGTATATATACATTATTTATATTAATACAGTTTTTATAGGGTCGAATGGATTCTTTACTAATTATAAAGAAATCGTTATATTTAATATGTTATACATATATTTCATAATACATACATACAATACTTCATATCTCGTTCATAGTTTACGGTTGACAAAGATCGAAGTATTTATTCTACTTCTTAAAAATGAATCAAAATATTGATTAAATAATTTATAACAATAGTATTATGAAATTAATTTAAATATTGATTTATATATGATTTATCTTTTAGTTTTCAGTCAGAACAGAACTCAGGCTTTATTTGATTTTAGTCATTAATTCATTAAGATAAAGTATATAATTAATAAACAAATCAATTATCATATTTCAAGTAGCCAAATTAATGCGTAACATAAGCACATAATTGAACTAACTTTAAGCTGCTATATGAAGTATTTAAACTATTTATCATGTACATAGAACTCTCACACTATGTAAGATAAACACATGTTTGAGGGTCATTGACACTCAGGTGTACGTAGGTTGGGAACCAACCACAATCGCTTACTTTAAAATCATTTCAAACAATGACATTATAAAAAATCAATTAAAAACTACATAATAATTATTATTAATTAAAAAATCTATAAATGTATGAGATTTTTTTTTATAATCATATGTAGGTCAGACACGTAACAGACGGAAAAATATATCGATTATCTCGTTTTAGTATTACTATTCATATATAACTTCTCATATAACATTTATGGTTATTAGTAATATAAAAATTCATAGTTATGGGATACAAAGACGTAAGGCCCTAAAAGTGGAGCACACTGCCGGCGTGCCCCGGCAGGTGTTCGCACAAAGACTTAGCTAGGGAACTTTGAGGAAGAAAAAAAAACCCGCTCCAAATGTCACTACCAGCTGTCTTAAAGACTTGCGTTCACTGACGAATGTTTAATACAAGAACGTATATAAGGTTACAAATGTTAAATGTATTACACAACCAATATGAAATATACGAATCAGACAGACAGACGGTGTAATTTCAACAATGAACGATAAATGTGTTTGGTTATTTAAAAGTATATACAAAAACTTTCGTCAACTAACAAGAACGAACATCGAAAGCTCATACAGCTTTAATAAGGACAAGGTTTTTATGAAAAAAAAAAAAGAGCGGGCAAATACTTACCTGTTCAACCGGGGCGTTTAGGAACGGGCGTTTTGTACCTAGAACAATGGACGTAAGATTAAAATTATATACATAACATATATATAGATATATATAGATTAAATAATGACGTACATTATAAATAATATATTTGATCGCGTGTATGTATGGGAGTTATATGTTACGAGTCCGCCTATATAGGCGTTCGCGTGTGGACTGGCAGAGCTCGGGCTGTGCTCGGGCGTTAGTACAACCCCGAGAGACTCCGGGGCGCCGCTGGTGGACATGCGCACTGCACACCGACAACACCCCTGACTCACAATGTGCCCCGGAAACGAGGACTCAACAAGACAAGACGAGGATATGCCTTCAACATGCACGACGCTCTTATACAACCAATGAACACTGAACTAATTACGACTGCTACACGGAAACTATACACTAGCGAGGAGACGAAAAATACTATTATACTATTACCAAATATTATTAAAAAATTATTAATATAAAATATATATAAGAGTCAAGAGACTGGAGAACAGAACCGTATCACAGAGATCAAAGTCCCATACGGTGTAATTCGCTCATAAGTTGAATAACTAGCGATGTCTGATATATGCTCTTTGAAGTTCGTGCCAGCCGCTTACATACAAAGTTACCGAGTAAAATATGTCTTAGTTAAACACGCACATGGAAATATTAACTTTAGTTTCAAACAAATATAATATAAGTTATGAAAAGATTTTTGTATTTCAGCAGGAATGTATTGAATAATTCATAATAATAGTAAAAATATTACATAATTTCTTAATTTTGAAATCATACGATGTTTCCCAGGAGGTACTACTAACTTAAATGGAAAAGAAAACAATTAATTTTTGTAAATGAAAATCACACTAATTATAAATAAAACTAATAAAAATTAACTTAAAAAATTCTTATCACTCCATAATTTCTTATCAGTGTTGACATAATAAAAAAAAACGTAATTAATCAATAAAATTAAAAAATAAACAATATTATGTAATGGATGTACCATAGACGAGTCTGATAGCATGCAAGACGGTCGTTAGCCTAACAATATCCAAGTTTGACAACACTCAACTAATTGACCACGATTAAATCCTATCCAATGCTATGAAGGAGACTCTTCAACTATTATCATGGCATACATCATCTTTATACACTCACATTACTAACATATACAGGGTGACTGGTGAATTACTATCGATACTTGAGGACGTGATATTTGTCGATCATATATGACAAAATAAAAATTAATATAACATAAACATTAATAAACTTCTAAGTAAAGTTAACCAAAAGTTATGTAATTAATTACGCATCGTGTGAACACCCTACAAATTAGGTATACACACACACACGCGTGCGGCGGCGTGGTGTTGTATCAGCACGCCGCCGCACGCGTCCACACTTGGAACACTTGGAACGTGTCCACACTTTATTTATACGGAAATTTGGTCAAAAATTAAGTACCTATTTTTTTTACATAATTCGAATGAGAATCATGTACCGAGTATGCTCCTTAAATATTGATAGTAATTCACCAGTCACCCTGTATACATATCTGTCACATACTAATACGTCTCTAGAGTGATCATCATTCATCATACGAGAATTTTTCGTATTTTTTTTCTATCGATGTACATAATAAATTATTCATAAATTCGACAGACGGGCTATTATAATTAACGAACATTATATCTACATTCGATACATAATCTTAAAAGCTTTCGTATAAAATATCGAACCATTTTAATAGAACACGCACGTCATGTTTGACCAGCATTACATACGGACACACAATTTGTATATATATGTATATATATATTGTATATAGATAATAAACTATGTCAATAGCTAATAGCCGCGGTCAAGACAATCGAAGCCATGGCAACGAGGCATCAACAAAACATCACAGTTTTGAGAAATAATTTATAAGAACTAAATGTATGTCAATAGTCAATACAAAGGCAAAATAAACAACTGTACCTACTACATACAAAGCGATGTACGACTTACGATCAAATAACATAATATATTTTTTTAATTAATGTTCATTCCACCATAATGTTTATATTTCATATTTATATAAGAATTCTTGATATTATCAGAGTCAATAGAAGATTCAAATCAGTATGTTACGTAACTGAACGTTTAAACTTTATAATCAATAACATACTTAATAATTGTTCTTATATATATAAAGATATATTAAAAGGCCCGCCTTTAATGCACGAGGGCGCGGGTTCGATCCTGGCCCCGACAAGTACCAATGTGATTTTTCCGAGTCATATGTACTTTCTAAGAGTATTTAGACATCACTGATTAATGCATTCCCAAAGAGGGTTGATGTCAGGCAGCGGCCGGTCGTAAAAACAATTAGCCAAAAACTATTCACAACATGTAAGGCAGACCCTGGCTATAGCTGGGAAATTGCCAGGTAGAAGATATATATATATATAAACTTTATATTATAAAGATATATTTATTAATGTGTGATAACAAGCATATGTCTTAACAGTGCCTTATAATCTCACGTACGAGTACCGTGGGAATATCGACAAATGTTCATACAATTATGCAGTACTGACCTAATTGCGACTGTTGCCTTTCTTTCTGGAGTTTCACTGTAATTTTATAAGACTAAGGTTCTAGTATATAATTTAAATGTATCGAACCATTTAAATATTCATACGTGTATGAGAATACGCCAGCCGTGAGACAAGCAGGCGACTCCACCGTCTCTACAAGACGATGACGACTTGTTTATTAACGATAAGAAAGTTCTTTATAATTTATAACTGGGTATAATTAAGTATATAATTCTTGGTATAATCAAACAACAAAAATAATTAGAAACAAATGGAATTATTGAAAACTAGCTTTCCGCCCGCAGCTTCGCCGCGTGGAGTTCGGTTATATCGCGTTTCCAAGAGAACCTTTCAAAAGTCTGGGATAAAAACTATCCTATGTTCTTTCTCAAGGTCAACTCTATCTCTGTACCGAATTTCATTAAAATCAGTTCAGTGGTTTAGGCGTGAAAGCGTAGCAGACAGACAGACAGACAGACAGACAGAGTTACTTTCGCATTTATAATATTAGTAGGGATATCTTTCAATTAAATTAATTATAGTCGTGACGATCAAGTTTATGTAATGACAGTTTTGTAAAGTTACAGCTGTTATTGGAACTATTCCTATTATTATACATAGTTTAAATTGATAATTTACATGAGAAATTAAAATCGCCTTAAGCACGTTTAACAAATGCTTTTCCAAACTATTATAACTATGGAGAGGAAAATTTTAATTTATTTGTATTGTGGCCATAATATCACGACATTGTTTAAACTAATACTTTTATCTTTACGTTACGACTTTTGTATGTCTTTTTGGTTTAGTTCCTACATAATACTAAAGCTTCTATGAACGCAAATCAACATCAATAGCAGTAAGTATTGGTGACAAAAACATATATATAATTGATCAAAGTAGTACATTCGTACGTGATAGCCACTTGACACAAGGCAATCGCGGTTATTTCACGCTCGGAAACTCTCAGTCGTGGCACCGCCTCGCTCCAGGATTGGATAATGCTCAACGAGACGTGAAAACATTACAGGTTCACTTACAACACATTCAGGATACAAAGTCACTCATACAACAATAACTGCTAAATACAACAACAAATATATCTATAGACTATATATATAAAAATGGATTGCTGTTCCTTAGTCTCGTTAAAACTCGCGAACAGCTGAACGGATTTATCTTATCTTAGTCTTGAAATGTTCGTGGAGGTTCAGGGAAGGTATAAAAGCTGAAAGAAATTGATTAATTACTGGGAAAATCATAAAAACAGCCCTTTTATATTTCCCATACAAACGTTTTTTTTGACATTAGATTTGACAACTAACTAATATGTCAATCATTCTGTCGCACATCAAAACACGGAGATTTATGGCTTACAGGTAAACTCTAAAATTATAAATAAAAAAACGTAACAGATATTTCTTTATTATAGGGCGATACGAAGTTCGCCGGGTCCTAGTACTTAAATAAATTTCTATGTATGCATATTATATGTTATATTGTATGTCACTTCAGAAATCATGAAAGACTAGTCGATAACCCGTATTTATTATGTGGGGTGCGTTGAAAAATATTAAATCATGTCAATTTAAAATGAAGCCGTCAAAAGATACTGAGTATACCTAAATTGACGTGAAAAAAAATCAATAATTCTAAAAAATGTACAGAATATTTTCTTATAACATATATATCAGAAGTTTTGTGAGTATGTATGGAATGTTTTGGCTTTTCCAAGCAAACAAATTAAAAGATAAATTAAATGCTATTATTAATCCCGGCATTCCTTATAGTAAAAGGATCAAGGCATAACCGTCGTATTAAGATTAACGCTATAGATTTCGCTAACAGTTGTTCAGCATATCTACATATTTTAACACACTAAAATTTATCTCTGAGCCTGCTACTACAATCAAAGCGAAGTCGTAGCCATAAACTAGTCTTCATATACAACAATAAAATATAAATAAATCGTGTTTAATACAATTAATAGTAATAAACACAATCATTCCCCCGTGACTGTAACAGTGGCAGTTATGTATCAAGTTTCCTCGCGGGTCTGTACATCATAAATATTTGATGTCAATATCGATTATACCTTCTCCAAGCCGCTGGGTCGACGGCCGGCAACAGTACAACATCGTGAATGTGTACCACAATTATTAAATTATTTTAAAGCACTATCAGTTATTTATTAGATATTATATTTGAAGCATAAAAAATACTTTTTTGTAACAACTATATCACGAGTGCTTCATTGTCATTTTTTACGACTAAATTAATTTAATGATAGAAAGTTTCAAAATTTAATATTAAGCATAGCGTTATTTCATTCATGTTAGTAATTTATTTCTATATGACCAGATCATGTCTTTAGATTAAAATTTAAAACCTATCTGTTATTACCGATACTGGAATATAATCAATACTTATACCTCAACTAAAACCAGACTTAACCATTAAAAGCTCTGCATTTATATACTCTATGTCTATGAAATGGGGAAATAAATTGATAACCGCTATAATAAGCAATCAGTCCAAAAAATATTATTCTTATCACAAACATCACATTCTTTGTGACAAAATTCTTTTGTATTGATAAAACTTTTTTGATATCACATATAATAAGTACGAAAAAATGTTCTATATTATAAAATTTCCATATGCACAAATATTTTTAACTCCTATTTTATATGATATAAAAAAATGTTGAATTATAGTGCAATATCAGTGTTTCTTTTTATTTGCTTAAGTACAGCGCAAACCGATAAATCATGTTGCAAACAATATTCTAAATACG